GTAACGGTAATGATCAAGTTCAAATGTGAACTAATATTACAATACATCACCCTCCCTGTGTTGTTTTTTATTTGTTTTGTTTTGCAGAACAGGAAAATCACTGACATGAAATACCACATATGTTGTTGGAATACCACATATATTGTTAAATCCATTCATTGCTGAATGGATTTTGGTTTAGTGCCTTTCTGTCTTTCTTTAAGCTATCTTTCTATTTACCTATTTGTTGTTATGATGTGTGGCTCTTTGGGTAGGTTGGGGGAAGGATAGAGAGGATATTAAGGTGATATGAAAAAAGTGATATCAGTATGCTTATGTATACATATACATTTATGGCAAGCAATATGAAGTGGAAACCCAGAGTTTCATACAGCATCTTTTGATTGCGTTCTGCTGTATGTATGAAAATGCTTTTTTTTTTTTGATACGTGGATTACATTTAAAAATAGTTTTAAAGCAAAAGAGGAGAAGAGGTTTCAGGGGTGAAGAGTGATTTGCCTTAAAATTCATTACAACATCTGCTACTTCACTAGTCACCTTCATTTAAAATACAAAGTAGTATATAAGATTCTTTAGGGCAGAGGCTATTTCATTTTAGTATGTTAAATACTTATCATGGTGCCATGGCACATAACAGACAACCAATAAATGTTTGTCCATTGATTGTCTGAAGAAGATGGTATAGTAATGATCTATAATTTCATTGTCATAATTCTTATGTAGCTGCTTGGTTCCCAGAAAGGTAAAAAGCCTTGGCCATGGTCTCAGAGTTGGTAAGTTTCAAGGACAAGACCCAAACCCAGGTCACACCGACTCCAGTTCCACTAAGCCAGTGGAAACAGATCCTTGTGGGAAACATATTGACTTAGAAAACTATGAATTAACATTATGTTTATTATATTTTTATTACTTTGGCTAAATAGTTCTCAAATATATTTTAATCTGATTTGGCTTCACTTGGATGTTTACTAGTTGCAAATGGTCCACACAGGTTCAGTCGTTATGCATTATACTTACACCGCCTTACTACGCACTAGCCCACCCTCCTGCTGATAGGCAGTATAAGACACATTTTTGCCGTGTGCTAGATGACTTCCTGTAAAGTGTTAAATCATCATTTTATTGAGAGTTGAGCAAGATCTTTTCCACTCTCAATGTTATATCATTTCATGTGTATCATTCAAATTACCACAAAATAAGTCTTGGCATGGAGACAAATAGTTATAATCTAATCACTATGGATTAAAATACGAGGTAGTTTTTTAGGTGCCAAAATTCTTCTAGGAAGTAACACATCAAACATAAGGCGATAGCTATTTGATAAATAAGAAAAATTAGGATTTGAGAGATGATGACTTAAGTAATATACCTGTATGAAATATAATGACACTATAAAATATGAACACTGTGTTGGGAGCAAATAACTGTAGGATATTTAGAGCCACCATCTTGATGCCAGCTGTATTTGTTTTTAAGCCATGCATGTATTCTTCCAACTAGGTCTCTAGCTCCCATAATGAAGTTGAGCTGTTTGCTCACTACATCTAGTTGGACCCAGATATTATGCATATTCTCATTCTCCATTTGCTCTTTTTTTTCTTTTCCTCTCTTTCTCCTTGCTTTTTGTTTTTTGGACTCTGATTTCTGCCTCTTATTCTGTAAACAGTAATTGAGTCAACATTATTAGCAGCACTTTGGGAATTTGGAGATAGAAGCATCATTAGATTGCCCTGTGTTTCTATTCACCTTCCTTGTGACTTCACACTTACCTGGCTAATATTCCTCTCACTGTACTATCTTCTTTAAGTTTTTTTTTAAAGCAAGGATTATCTCTTTTATATTTATACTCCCTATGCATATCACTATTCCTGGTATACAATAAGCACTTAATGAGTTTTTAAAAATTTATTCATTCATTTGAAACAATGGAAATTATATTTTTTTTGCCACGCATATCAATATTTTACTTATTTCTGTGATCTCTATGTATTCACTTGTGTTTATTCTCTATATATTTTTTCCTGTATATACTTATATATGTACTCATCTCTCCCACTGTAATGCAAGCTTGTTGAGAGTAGGGATTGTTTCATTATATAGGTACGTACATGCATGCATATATATATATATACACACACATACATATATACATACATACATACATATATACATGCACACATATATAGTGTGTGTATATATACATGTTTGTTTGTTTGTTTGTTTGTTTATTTAGTTATACCAGCACCTACAACAGTGCCCGGCACATAGTAAGCAATAAATAGCTGTTAATTAATTGATCTCCTTATCGTTATGAGTAGTTTTTTTCTGAAGACATAACTGTAAAATGCATAAAATAATCTAAACATCCATTCTTCTAGACTGAGACAATTAGCCCTTTTGTTGTTGTTACTGCGTCATTTCAATCATGTCCAACTCTTCATAACTGTATTTTGCATTTTTTGGGCAAAGATAGTGGAGTGGTTTGCCATTTCATTCTCCAGTTCATTTTATAAGTAAGAAAACTGAGGTAAACAAGGTTAAGTGACTTGCCCAAGGTCACACAGCTGAAAAAGTGTCCGAGGCCAGATTTGACCTCAGGGAGATGAGTCTTCTTGGCTTCAAGCCCAGCACTCTATCCACTGTACCCCCTAGCTGCCCTAACAATAGAAATAATTATAGTAATAGCCACTAAAATTACCACAAGCATAGACCCTAGGAAGATGAAGCAGCAAGCATAATGGATAGATAACTGGCCTTGGAGTTATGAAGGCCTAGGCTCATATCTTGCCTCTAACAGATATTGTCTTTGTACGTGCATGCATGAGTGTGTGAGTGTGTGTGTGTGTGTATGTGTGTGTGTGTGACAATGGAAAAATCATTCAATATTTTAATAAGCTAGTTAACTATGACTAAAAATTGAAGAAAATTTTCTGATGTGCATTTATAGAGAAACTATCTCATCAAGGATACCCTACACCTATGGAATTATAGTCCTGTATTGGAATGAGTGAATTATAACAATAATAACAGAAAGAAAACATAACTGAGAAGAGCTATATATGATAACATAGTAGCTTTATTTTCCAAGAAGCCTTCTTAATTATGGAATTTATATTTCCTTGAATGTTCTACTAGGAGCTACAATATCGTTGATATCATATTTCACAATGTGATGCTTGAGTTACATAATCTAATATTAGATTTAGACCTAGAAGATGCCTCAGAGCCCATCTAGTTCAACCACTTCATTTTATAGGTTTAGGCCTTGGGAGATTAAATCACCAAAGGTTACCAAGGTAGTTAGCATTGGAAATTCAAGTTGAATTTAAAACCTCTGACTCTAGTGCTCCTTTCAAAATATTCTGATACATCATATGCTAAATTATATATTTTTGGCATAGTTTTCTTCTTCATGTTTTCTTGCAGATAGTAAACCAAGAAAACAGAAGTAATAGCTTCTACATCCTCCACAATGACCAAATGAATAGCAGGATTTCAATTGATTAACAAACAGATGTGCATGGAAAGGCAGTATGGTACCGTAGAATTAGCAGTGGATTTGTAGTCATTGGTGTTTGGAACAAGTACTGGGATTTGTGTTCCAGTTCCTTCTCTGATACATAGCTGCTATTTATATAGGCCTTAAAGTTTGCCAAAGCTTTACATATGTCATCTCATTTGATCCTCTCAAGAACCCTGAGAGGTAGGCACTATTATTATCATTTTACAAATGAGGAAACTAAGGCCAAAAGGTTAAATAACATGCCCGGGGCCACACATCTACTAAGTATCTGAGACCAGATTTGAACTCAAGTAGATGAGTCTTCCTGACTCCAGTCCCGGTGCTCTATCTACTGTGCTACTCCTAATTTATTCTGTATATATCTTAATTGTACATAGATTTTTGCTTTATTTTTTGTTGGTTGTTTATTTTCCCCACATTGTCTCTTCAACTAGACTGTGAAATCCTTGAGAGCAAAGATTGTTTTCTGACTTTCTTTGTATCCCCAATGCCTGGCACATAGTAGGTGGTTAATAATTTGGTTGTTGACCAACTGACTATACACCGTGGACTTGCAACTCCTTTCCCATTTCTAAGCCTAGATTTCTTATGTGTAAGATGGGATAATATTTACACTACCAATGTACCTCACAGGATTGCTGAAAAGAAATGGCCGTGGATAATTTAAAATGCCATATAAACACACTTTGCTATTATATAAGCTGAGGATTCATTGCCTTGAATATAGTGAATTATAGCCGTTATCTAATCTTATCAACCACCAATAAAACATGGTTTTATTGTCAAATTGTTCTGAATGTGAATGTAGGAATATTTTGGAAAATGACCAATCTTTGTTCATATTACATAATAATAGGCCAAGAAATCCTGAGCCACAATCTGATTATGTCTACTTGCATTAAATTAATAATTTTAAAATTCATTAAAATTTCTAGTTAATTTGTGCAAATATACTCAAAAAAATCTTTCAAGGAAAAATTCTGTGGTGAATAGCTGATAATGAAAAAAATAAATGTTTTTACTTTTAAAGTCCATTTTTTTTTATTACCAAGAAGTTAAAGGGCTGCAAAGACAAGATAGTCAATCCTTTTAAGACAGGTACATCTTTTTGCCCCCCTTTAAGGCATGTCCCTTTGTCCCCCATTTCAGATTAAGGCTTAAAAGAGGAAAATTATTGTTTTGCCATAATAGCTGGCTTCATAGATTCCTAGTATCATCATTTTTAGGTTTCTGCTTTATCCACTAGACCACCCAGATGAGCTTCAAAGCCAGGATATGGTTATGCTTTCACATAACTGGTTGCAATTTTTAAAAATTCCTTTTCTCTGCTATTAGCTGACAGATGAGATTATTACAAGGCATGGCTCATTAATAAATAACACCTAATTAGTCAGAGATTATTCTGTGATTAAGCCTTAATTTTCTGTGCTTCTCATGTAACTATTCAAATTATTCTTTATTTTTTGTTCCTTTTCAGACTGTTTTGGAACGTGCTCTGAATCGTCCCAAAAGGTTACTCAAACAGAAATTGACTCTTGTCTGGCAACAAGTCCCTGATAGACCTGTGACAGCTAAGAGAGATGCCTTAATAAAAGCTCACTCCAGTGGGGGAGAGGATTAGTCATTTATTAAGTGCCTGCTATGTGCTAGGAACTATAATAAGTGCTTTTAAATGTTATCTCATTTCATCCCTACAACAACCCTGAACATTAGGTACTATTGTTATCCCCATTTTACAATTGAGGAAACTGAGGCAAAGGTTAAGTAACTTGACCAGAGCCACACAGCAAGAAGCCATGAGGCTGGATTTGAACTAAGTCTTCATGATTTCAAACCCAGTGCTCTATCTACAGCACCACCTAGGTATTCTTTTAGCACTGATGACCTATTTCAGGAGGCAGTATGCAGATGGCCCAGGTTCAGGTAAAGAAGACCTTTTTGAAGGCAGATGAAGGGCCAGAACCGGAACATGACATCTGTGGGCCCTGGACAATTCAATAAATATTAAGTCATTATTCTCTGCATAGATGATATCATGCTGGATAATGGAGATACAAAGACAAAAAAATGATAATATGAAGAAGCTCATGTTTTACTAAGGGTGGTATGACATGCTCACAAATAAAGTCAATATAATATGAAACTATGTTGGAAGCAATTGAGGGATTAGAAAGAGAGTTCTGGGAAAATTTGAAAGGAGGAGGAGAAACATTTTCAATTGGGATCTCAGGGAAGACTTAGCTGAAAAAGGGTGACCTGACTTGAACCATAAAGGAAGAGAAGTATCCAAAAGGGGAAGATTGATCAATCAGTTGGAAGTAGTCATTACTTTTAAGACTTTCTTCTTCTCTCATAGATACAATATGGACATATAAAAAAATCTATATTATATGCAAAATTTATTTAAAAATAGGGTAATTTGGGTATGGGTGGAAGAAGAGGTTGGGGGTTGCAAAAAGCTTAAGAAGATTTGAAGGAAACTAAAGATTCAAATGTCAGGGATGGAGGACTGACTATGAAAAGTCATGAAAATGGGATTAGTAAAAGTAGTTGCAGCAGTAGTGCTCCAAATTGATTAGAACATGTAGTGCATGAAAAGGAATAATATAAAGGCAGGTTGGGAAAGTACATTTAAGTCAGAATTTACATTACATCTAAATAAGTGTCAAGAATGTTGATGTTATTATAAAGACAACAGTGAGCTACCTGAAGATATCTGAGCTATTGGGTTGCATGATCAAGCCTGTGCCCTAGGAAGATTACTTGACAGTTGCATGAAAAATGAACTAGAGGGGGAGGATATTTGGGGCAAGAGCAATTGGGAGGTTATTATAATAACTATGTGAACTGTGAAGAAGAGCTCAACTGGGGCAATGGTGGTGTTAAATGAAGAAAAGAAGACAAATGGGATGCTATTTTAATAATAATCACTATTTCTTCTTTAGTCATTTCTTCAGTCACGTCCAACTCTTCATAACTCTACTTGGAGTTTTCTTGACAAAGATGCTGGAGTGGTTTGCCATGTCCTTCTCCTGCTCATTTTACAGATGAGGAAATTGAGGCAAACAGGGATAAATGATATGCCCAGGGTCACACAGCTAGTAAGTATCTGAGGTCAGATTTGAACTAGGGATTATGAGTTTTCCTGACTCTGGGCCCAGCCTTCTACCCACTGCACCGCCTAACTGCCTGACTAATTTTTACCAAGTGCTTCATAGATGTTACATAACTTCAGCTCTTCAATGATCATATGAAATAAGTAAGTTGTAGACCAATTGCTGACCTGCATTGGTAGAGAGAGTTTATTATTTACCAGGAGATTATTATACCAATAAAATCACAGGACTAAGCAATCTTCCCCTTACCATCCCTTCTCACTTCCTATCTACCCCACACCCAGATAGGTATTATAATGCCCATTTTGCAGTTAGAGAAACTGAAGCTCAGAGATTAAATAACTTGCCCATAATTACACATCTCACAAGTATTTAAAACAGGGTTTGAACGCAGGTATCCCTGAATCTCAAGTGCAGTACTCCACTATTCCATAAACAGACTCTGGCAACTGATGGGATAAAAGATCATAGATTTAGAACTGGAATTGATCTTAAGGAGAATCGAGTCCAATATGACTTAACAGATGAGGAAACTGAGGCAGATTAGAGGTTAAGTGACTTGCTCAGGGATGCACAGCTAGGAAGTATCTGAGGAAGGATTTGAATCTAGGTCTTCCTGAATCCAAGTCCAGAGCTCTATCCACTCACTACTCCACACTTCCTCTATAAATTGAAATCGGGGGGGGGGGGCAGCTAGGTAGCACAATGGATAGAGCACTGGCCCTGGAGTCAGGAGGCCCTGGGTTCAAATCTGGCATCAGACATAATGCTTCCTAACTGTGTGACTCTGGGCAAGTCACTTAACTCCAATTGCCTCACTCAGAAAAATAAATAAATAAATAAATTGAAATAAAAAAATAAATAAAATTAAATAAATTGAAACCTGGGGAAGTTAAATATCTTGCCTGAAGTCAAAACGGTGATAACCAGGAATGAGATTTGAATTCAGTTTCCATTAGTCAAGAGGCAGTGCTCCTTCTGCCATATTATGCTGCCTCTAATGTGGAGTATGACAGAGAGGGAAGTATCAAAGATGACTCCTGTCAAGGCTGTCAAGGCTGATTGCCTAATCAAGGTTTAAAAATCTGTGCATGTTGTCTGTTGCTGTTCATAAGAGATTTTGAGCTGAGCACAGGTTTGCCATAAAATACCTGTGTAACATGCTGAGGGAATTTGTTTAGAAATTAAAATATGAATAGTATGTATTTCTAAAAATTGATATCAAAAAAACCTCTTTTACACCCCTTTTCCTATCCCCTTAAGGTTTTGAACTCTCAACAGATGCTGCCTACATTTTCTACCCCTTGTTCTTGGCAAAGTAAGTATCATTAAAGCCTCAACCCTCTATACCTCAACCTTATTAGCATTTTGAGGCAATGAGGATGTAAAGAAACATACACACCGTGTTATAAGCAATTAAGAAGTAGAAAAGTTTTCCCCTTCAGAAGTCATGACAACCAGAATTTCAATGTGAGAGTCTTTCAAAGTGGGAGGGGGAAGAGAGGAGGGAAGCAAAACAAGACATAAATTAAAAAAGCATAACTTCCTTCAGAAGCTCTGCTTTCTTTCTATGGTAAGTTAATTCTATTGCTAACTGTATATTTCCAAACTATTTTAGTGTGGCTAGACATTTTAATTGGCCTAATTTAGATAAATACCACAAACCAATACATTTGTCTTGAACACCCTCACAGTCTGCAAATGTCAACCCTTATTGAAAGTGTGTTGGGATTAGGGTGAGAAGTAGAAGCAGAGGGATGATTCAGCACTTGTTCTGGGGATTATATTTTCTCATAGTTGAGTGCTAGATTTCCCTCTCACTCCCCTCACTTTCGCCTGATTCTGTATGCTGCCTGTGTTTTATTGCTGCATTTATCAAATCTGTCTTTGGTAATTCTGAGCACCTGTCTCAGGAGGATCCTTTGCAGAACTATATAAAATAATCTTTAAACAGGGCCCATTTGCAATGCTTAGAAACCTGTCATCTTTTTAGATAACAAGATTATTTATTTCTAAGAAGTTATCTAGAGTGTATTGTGTTACCTTTTGCCCTGAGATGCTTTTTCAAGTCTTTTACCAGGACAAATAGTAGATACTATAGTGAAAGGGAAGTGATTATGCCTCTGACCTATATCAGGTGCTGCACCTACAAGGTATAGGGTGGTCAGTGTCATATCAGTTGACTTTCTGTCGTATATGACGTGGTCCCTATGGTACCTGCCATGGAAATACTTATCATAAATAGTAGTGAAATAAATCAATAAGCTTTCATCTAGACATATGCTCTTTAAATCAGATAGATTCTAAAACACTTGACAAATTCTTCCCCATCTATGCAGTTAAATAAATAGTGAGCACTTTGTTTTAATGCAGCAAGTCATAAAAGTAACTATCATACATATTCTAATACTAAAGTAGAGCTCTAATTTCATTGCTATGAGAATTCCCTCCAACAGTGGAAATTATGAACATTCATGCCTGTCCTCTTGTATGAATCTCATTTTTGTCCTCTGATAAGTTCATCACCAGGGGTCTGTCTGATTTTCCTGATGATCCAAGGATATCAACGGAGTACACAAGCTGGCTATGCCTCATTTTTGTTATTTGACTGAATCACCTCCTTATAGTCTATATCTGTTTTCTGAGGACCTGTCTTTGTAAGTATAAAAAGACTCATCTCCAATAGCACATCAAAGTATTTGGCTATGATAACACATGAAACTATCATCTGTATTTTCTTTATATTATATATGGGAGATCCTTAAGGTATATGATGAATATGTTTGACTAGAATGTGGCCTTGAAAGAGTCCTTGTTCAATTTTTCTTTTCCTTTAAGAACCCAGAATTCCTAGAACTCTGTACCTTTATTTATTCAAATAACTTAGAACAGAAGCTGAAAAACAATGAGTTGAGATGTTAGCTAGATAGACCATTTCTGGATTTTCACAATCTAAATGTTTTTCTTGAAGGTATGTATGGGAGATTGCCTTATGGAAGCACTGAGTACAAACCTGGATACAGAGGGAGAAAAGAACAATTACAGTAAGTGAGAAGTCCCAAACCTCACTATTAGAAGAGAGAAAATGAATCTGAAAGGAAATAGGAAACCACTTTAGGGATCCTAGGAGGGGATTGAAAATCAAAGTGAAGCTAATGGAAAATAATTTTTTGAAACTATATGTAAAAAGGTGTAATAGTAAGTGCAACTCAACATTGATATAGCACTTTTAGGTTTTTTGATGCTCTTTCTTTACAACAACCCTATGAAATAAGTAGAATAAATATTATTTGCTCCATGTTTCAGGTGAAAAAACTAAGACTATAAAATATGGTGACTTGCCTCTAATGACTAAGCCAAAGAAATTCTGTGGCAGGATTTGAACCCGAAACATCTGACTTGAAGTCAAGCACACTGTTTATTAAGATTCCCTATAAATCACTTGGGCTCATTTGGGTTGAAACAATCTCTAGTGGGAGTACTAGAAAATGGCTGAAAAATAAGATTAAGTAAAATCAGTGCCTATGAATTCTTCTATAAGGCAGGGAGAGGGAAATTAAACTTTAAATAATATAGTCACAGAATGGTAAAGTTCCAATGGGATACTATTGCTGAAGAGAGAGTAATAATTTTCAAGAAGCTAAAGAGATATCATTTTTGCCATATTTTTTTTAACCCAAACCACCACCCTCTTCTTTGTATATTATTTTCCTCCCTTACTCCTAGTGTATCACATACTATCTGTAAAGCTCACTCTCTTTTATCTTTCCAATTCAAGTTCTTTATTTTAGAATATTAATCTCTTATTTCAAATTGACCTCAATTTAAAAGTTAGTGGCCAATGGTCAATGAAACCAGAATATCAAATAAACTACCTGAAGTTGTAAGGATGGAAGAGCTAGGTATAGCACCCTATCCATTGTGCCACCCATCTGCCTCAACAAGGGAATTGGACTAGATGATCTCTGAGGTCCCTTCAAGAAAATGAAGTCAGATATAGACATAGAGAATAGACAGGAAGACATGGATCTGTCTCCTGTGGGACAAGAAGACTAGGAAGCTGTCTGGAGAGGACAGGACAGAGAGAACTTCCATAAGCAATATATTGCAAATATATTAAATCAGAACTGGTTTCATATATGATAACAATGCAACAGTGGAGTAAGGCAGAAGGGAAATGCATATCCTTAAGCATATATGAAAGGGAACATAGAACCTGGAGGAATATGGTTCACACCATAACTCACTCTGATGAGGTAAGAGGTTGGCCAGGATCTTTGGGACAGAAATAGGGAGAAAGATAGCAAGAAAGCCCACAGCTTCCCCTTCAGTCCATGCCCACTGGTTCCATTCTACTTCATCTTTCCTCTGAGTCAATGGTAAAGGTGGGAAGAATGGAAACAGGAAGACATGCAGATGTCCTGGTGAAAACACTCCTAGGTACCCATAGGCACTATAGACTCTCTGCAGATCAGCGTTTTGTTTCAGACTTCTTTCACTTCTGTATCTTCATAAGGTAAGGGAAACAAACCTTGTTCGGAGATGGCATATGCTTCCCTTTAGGGATTGCTTTTTCTCTGTGTCTTCAAGCAGCACATGTAGCAGCAAGGATATGATTAGTGGCCTGCGTGCTTAAGAATGTCCAGTGGACAGCTTTCTTTATAATGCATTTGGCCTCATATCAGTCCAGAGCATATGAGAACATATAGGGACTATACAATATTTCTTTCAAATTCAGGAAGCCGATGAAATCATATGGCCTAGTTTAATATAGGTGAAAAGTCACTGAGACCACATTAATCCTCTTAGAAAGTTTTTGAGAGAGTAAAAGTTGATATACAGGTCTCTAGTTGGATCCTAATTTTCATTTCTGTCTTTCCTAGAGGGTCATGATTTCAAATGGAAATCTGTTTAGAAAGCCTATCCAAAGGGTTGACAGAACAGGCCGTGTGTATAGCACTACTGCACATGTTCACAGGCTTTTGCTTTTATAGACTTAAAGGACACCTTGATTAAAAAGTCTGAGTAAGAGAAAGGAGGGCCCCAAAACAGGAGACATGGATCCAAAAGGCAGCCTATTTCATTAGTCCAGGGATGAGGATATAGTCTTAAGAATAGCAAGGAGAAAATGTGACAAATGTTATGGAGAAATCTAAAGATTTGATTAAATAAGATTGAAGGACAGAGGGAAAAGGAATGACAAGTGAATACCCAGGCTGGTGCTTGTTTTCAGCAGTAATTAAAGTGAAACTGGATGGCATTTGAGGAGATGGAAGAGGAAGATGGTTGTGAGAGGGAAAAAAAAATAAAGCTCTGCTAGGAGATATATTTAGTTATTTACTCAACCTCAAATTTCTTCTAATTCATTATTAAAATTATTGCCATATTTCATTCACTTTGTGCTTCTATTTTTAAAATCAGATGACTGAACATGTTATAAAGCCTGAAAATTGTTTTTGTAATTGACTATGAAGGGTGTGTTTATTGCCTACCTGAATGCCTAGCTTTTTAGAAATGATGGGAACCTTGAAAAGAAGTGATCATTCTATCTTAGAAAGCTAAGTGTTGAGAGGATTCTGGGAAGATGGTGGAGTAGGTCAGAAAATTTTCTGCTCTCCAAATTTCTTTGACAAAAAAAGACAGAACACAGCCTCAGAGGCAATGTAGAGCAGCAGAAATAAACAAAAGTTAGGATTAGGAAGTAGTTCTAAGACAACTTGAGAAGACCCCAGGAAAGACCCAACAACCTCCAGGGGTGGAGGTTCAGCCTGAGTGAAGTGCAAATGCCACCAGGTTGACTCTACAGAATCAACAAACAACAAGCCTTGGGGGCAGCTGGGTTGGGAGGCAGCTTCATCCTTAGAAACTGTCATCTCACAGACACTGTGGGGGTCTGATGGTTGAGTAGAAGATTGAATTACCTTTTTCTGTCTAGGGACACCAAGCACAGTTATACTGACCAGATATGTTCCGGGCTGTAGCTGAAGGGGAGAAGGAGCTAGAACACACCAGGTAATAATAGCAGTATCACCTGCTGGCTATAGGCACTTGTAGGTGAATAGGACTGTGGTGGTAGGGGTCTAGCCATGGCTTAGAGGTGGAGAGGAGAGCCAAAGTTTGAGCCCCAAGATAAACCTCAGAAAATAACAATAAGAAGGACCTGAGACTTGGTGCATCATTCCCCTTACCTTGGGACTATAACTTGATTATACTAATTGCTGCTAGGAACAATGAAAACAATAACAACTGAAAATGAATAAGCAAAGGAGAAAGAACCAAACCATAGATAGCTACCATAGGGATACAGAAGATCTGGGTTTATATTCAGAGGAATATAAAAGAGCAAAATAAGCCACTCCTTTCCAATGAGAAACATCAAATGATTCCAAGCATGAAAAGAGTTCTTAGAGGAACTTAAAAAGGACTTTAAAAAATCCAATAAGAGAGATCGATGAAAAATTAGAAAAAAAAAGAGCAATCCAAGAAAATCAAGAAAATTATGAAAAGAAAATCAAACAACTTGAAATAAAGAATCAAAAACTTAAGGAAGAAAATAATTCCCTGAGAACTAGAATTGGGTAATAGAAGCTAATGGCATTCTAAGACACCAAGAAAAAAATAAAAGAAAATCAAAAGAATTAAAAAAAAACAGAAGAGAATGTGAAACATCTCATCAGAAAAACAACTGATCTGGAAAACAGATTGAGGAAAAATAATGTTAGAATCATTAGACTACCTGAAAATTAAGATAAAAAGAAAGAATCTTGGTACAATATTACAAGAAATTATCAAGGAAAATTGCCCTGAAGTTCTAGAACGAGGAGGCAGAGCAAAAATAGAAAAAATCCACCAATCACCACCTGAAAGAGATCCCATGAAGAAAATGTACAGGAATAGAGTAGCATAGCCAAGTTTCAAAGACCCAGGTTAAGGAGAAAATATTGGAAGTAACAAGAAAAAAAATATCCTGAAGTTACAATAAGGATTACAGAAGACCAAATAGTTGCTACATTGAAGGATTAAAGTCTTGGAATACTCTATTTCACAGAAGTAAAGAGCTGGGGTTACAATCAAGGGCAAATTACTCAGCAAATCCTGAGTATGGTCCTGAATGTAATCTTGAATGGAAAAAAAAGTGTATTTAATGAATGGAAAGACTTTCAGGTATTTGTGACAAACACAGCAGAACTTAAAAGGAAAATGCAACATATAACATCCAAGAGAAATATAAGGTAAAAATCAAAGACCAATTATAAGGGACCCAATGAGGTCAAATTGTTTACTTTTTTATATGTGAAAATATCATCATGACTCTTATGACTATCATAATTATTTGGGTATTTTGAAGAAAAGCCTTGGGCTAAATGTTTATGGGGATGAGGTTGTACCTCACACTCTGTCAATTGACAAAAATGACCAGAAATGGAAATAATGTTACAAGGTTTGTTGAATAATAGGCACATTATTACATTACTAGTGGAGCTGTGAGATGTTAAAACTGCCTTGGAAAGCGATTTTGAATAATGCAAATAAAGTGATTAAACTGTCCATATATATGCTTTGAAAAAGAGACTCCATTACTAGGCTTATACCTCAAAGAAACCATAGAAGAAAATCTTCATATATACTAAATATTTATGCTTTTTACGATAGCAAAGAACCGGAAATAAAACAGATAGCCATCAAATAGAAAATAGTTAAACAAATTGCAGTACATGAATGTAATGGAATATTACTATGGTGAATAAAATTATGTGTCTGACAAATACAGAGAAGCATGGGAAGATCTGTATGAACTGATAAAGGGTGAAGCAGAGCCAAGAAAACAATATACATAATTACACAATGTAAATGGCGAGAACAACTTCACACCACCAAATCAATAGAGAATGTAACAAAATTACAAAGAACAAGCAAAACTTGATTCAAAGAAGAGATATGAGAGGATACTACCAACCACCCCTTCCTGAAAGTGGGAAATTCACAGGTGTTATACATTGCACAGGTTTTGGGACTTTTTCACTGTATTGATCAATTACCTTTATGTTTTTCTTTCCTCTCTAAAAATATTATTTCTTCAATGAGATCTCTCTGGGGGGTGGGAGGAGAATACTTGAGAAAACTATGATGATGTAAGAAATAGACCTCATCAATAAAAATCTTATTTTTAAAAAATTGAAATATGTTTATAGGGGAAGTCAGTACAGGGAGAATGAGAATTCTTAAGAATGTAATTCTGAAGGGAAAATAAAATAACAATGAAGAAGAAAAGAAGGAGGGTTCTAGAGAATTTGTTTTGGAGACATAGTGAGCTCATTTGCCCACTTAGATTTAAATGTAACATTTCAATTTTATACAGTTCTTTTAATTCTTCTTTATATATTAAATGTTTGTTTTTATTGATAGTTATCAACTCAATAAAAAAAGTAAAGTTTTTAAAGGCATACTCAGAAGATGGAAGCAGGGGAAATTAATCCCTAAAAAACACAAAACAAAACAAAACAAAACAAAAACATGGCACAGTTCTGTAAGAAGAGTGGCAGGAGTCCCAAAGCTCGGAATGAACTGAGGGTGCTGAAGAATACTTAAGACAACAAAAACAGTCTTTAAAATTATATATTGAAAACAGAAGGTTCAAAGGAAGGATCAGACTTCTGCTTGAAGGACAATAATAATTGGGGGAAAATGCAAAACTACTCACATTTCCTTTTGCTTCTGTTTTCTCTCTCAAGAGAGGCAGCATAACATATTTAATAGAGAGTTGACCTCCAAGCCAGGAAAACCTGGTTTTAAGTTTCACTTCTATAACCTATTGGCTGTGTGACACTGGGGAAGCATTTAATATGTCAGTGCCCTAGGCAACAATCCTCTAAGAGTATAATTTGCAGGGAAGTTGCTATCATTAGTAGATGGACTTTTCTTACCTGAGAGTTCCCTATATGAAGAGAAGAACCATTCCAGTTCCTATTCCCTTTACCCCAAAGTGACCTGCTTTTGTATTGGGAAGTATAGAACATGTGAGATGGCTAGAACAAAGGTAAAGACATGAGTGGTAAAGTGTCTTGTATTTGAGGAACAAGAAAAGACCACTTTGACTGGATCACAGAGTATGAGGGGAAAGGAGAGGAAGAGTAATTAACAATGTGGCTTGAAAGAAAGATTTGGCCTAGGTTGTGAAGAGTTTTAAAAACTAAACAGAAAAGTTCACATTTTATCCCAGAGGCAATAGGGAACTAATTCAGTTAACTGAGCAGAGTCAAATTTGCATTTAAGGAAATTAATTTTGGTAGAATTGTGGAAAATGGACTATGTTAGTGAGAGACTTGAGGCAAAAAGATAGATTATGAGGCTTTTGTAATAATCTAAGCAAGAGGGATAAAGGCCTGAGGTAAGGAGACAACTGTGTGAGTATTGAGAAGGGGTCAGATTAAACAGATATTGTAGAGGTAGAAATGCCAAGATTTGACAATTGTTGGGGATATGGAGAGGAAAGAGTTAAAGATAACACTTAGGTTATTAGGTAACTCCATCATCTATCTTCTTATCTGTACATCAACCATCCCTCAAATTCTGTCCTTTCCAGTACAAAAAACTGTTCACTTTGAATGAAAAGGATAGGGACTGGAACCATTGATTCCTTCGATATAAGGAACTCTCAGGTAAGTAAAGTCCCTCCACCAATGAAGATGAGCAACTTCTCTTTAAATTATGCTTATCTTAGAGGACTGCCACCTACAGCACTGTTGCCAATATATTTCAAAAACAAGATTTGAATGTGTGCTTGGGACTCAGGAGATTGAAAGAGTGGTAGTGTTTTCCACAGAAATAGGGAACTTTGCAAAAGTGACAGGTTTGAGGGGAAAGAAATTGAGCATGGGATCAGAACAATGATCAGAATATGGCTCCTTTCTATCTCTGTATCCCCAGTGCAAAGCACAGTATGTGGCATGTTGTTGGTGCTTAATACATTAGTAATTGATTGATTAAAAGCCTCTTATGCCAGTTTTTATTAAAAGAACCGTGTGTCTAGAACTGGAAGTGATGTCAGCAGCCACATAACACAAAGTCTTCATTTTACAGCAAAAGAAATTGATGTCAGGAAAGCTCAAAAGAACCAGGAGAGGTGTAGTTACATGCTTGATTTTTATTTGTTTTTGTTTGAATCACCAGAAGAAAAACTGGAAGACTTTATAGTCTCTACTTTATTTGTTATTGTCTGCTCTAGAAAATTGTTTGCAAGTTTTTGCTTGTTTCAATCTCACATTTTCAATGCACAATGAGTAAATCATTCTCACAGATACCACAGAGATGAGAAACAAGATATATAGTTTACTGGCTACTAATATCCCTATAACTGTATTTCTAGATGTCAAAAACATTGTTCATCTTATTTTCCCAATCATTTGGTTTCTCCTCTTTCAGATATCTTCAAAACTGATTCTTTAATTCTTTCAAAATGATGTCATCTACAAAATGGCTTTTATAAACTAATAGAATCTCAGACTTGGAAGTTCATTTAGTTAACATATCCCTGCATAGGAATCCCCTCTATAATATTCCTGAGAAGTGGGCATCCAAGTTTCAACTAGAAAGCCTGGAGAATTTGCTACTTTCATCTTCTGTGAGTACCTTATCTAGTTCAGTGGCTCTTTTTGAATTTTTGTTTCCTGTAATGGCATTTCCAACATATTGCATTTCTCTAGACTGGCTTCTTGATTTGGTGCAGATGGAACTAAATGGCTTCCAAGCTTCATTCCAGTTCTTATGCCCTGAGATTTTGTGATATTATGATTCTATTTGCTCATGTAGTGCATTGGTAGTGAGCAAGACATTAAAATCTAAATGTCATGTTTTCATTGTTTGTTTGTTTGTTTTTTATTAAGGGAGCAGAAGCTAGTAAATCATCTACTTAAAATAATAATCTTGATTTTGATTCCTGGCAAAATTCTAGATTATAATGATGTAGCACAATAAAAGCAAGCACTCTTTGACAAAAACATCTGGGAAAATTGGAAAAGAGTATGGCAGAAACTAGGCATAGAGCAAAATCTCATACCATATACCAAAATAAAGTCAAAATAGGTTCATGATTTAGATATAAAGACTGATACTACAAGCAAACTGGGAGAGCAAGGAATAGCTTACCTGTCAAATCTATGTAGAACAGAAAAATTCATGACTAAACAAGAGGTAGAAAGCATTATGAAAAAGCAAAACGGATAATTATGATTACATTAAATTGAAAAGTTTTTGAACAACAACAAAAAAAACACAATGTGACTAAAATTAGAAGGAAGGTAGAAAATTGGGAAACAATTTTTACAACCGGTCTCTCTGATAAGGGCCTCATTTCTAAAATATATAGAGAATTAAGTTAAATTTGTAAGAATACAAGCCATTCCCCAATTGATAAATGGTCAAAGGATATGAAGAAATTAAAGACATCTTTAGTCATATGAAAAAATGCTCTAAATCACTATTGATTACAGAAATGCAAGTCAAAACAACTCTGAGGTACCACATCACACCTATCAGATTGGCCAACATGACAAAACAGGAAAATGATAAATGTTGGAGATGTGGGAAAATTAGAACACTGATGTGAAATGATTCAACCATTTTGAAGAACAATTTGGAACTATGCCCAAAGAGCTACAAAAATGTGCATTCCCTTTGACCCAGCAATAGGTCTAGGGCTATATCCCAAAGAGATCATACAAATGGGAAAAGGACCCACATGTACAAAAATATTCATAGCAGCTATTTTTGTGGTGGCAAAGAATTGGAAATTGAGAGGATGCCCATCAATTGGGGAATGGCTGAGCAAGTTGTGGTATATGAATGTAATGGAATACAATTGTGCTATAAGAAATGATGAACAGGCTGACTTCAGAAAAACCTGGAAAGACTTGTAAGGTGATGCTGAGTGAAATAAGCAGAACCAAGAGAATGTTGTACAGAATAACAGCCACATTGTGTGATGACTAATATTGATAAACTTAACCCTTTCCAGCAATACAAGGATCTAAGACATCTCCAGAGGCCTTGTGATGGAAAATGCTATCCACATCCAAAGAAAGAACTATGAATTACTGTTTTTTTTTCTGTTAAGTTTTGTTTCCTCTTTCTGATGGTTCCTCCTGTTGGTTTTAATTTTTACTTACAACACCACTAATGTGAAAATATGTTTAATAGGAATGTAAATGTATAGCCTATATCAGATTGTGCACCATCTTGGGGAGGGTGGTGGGGAGGAAGGGGGAGAAAAAATTTTAAACTCAAAAGCATATGGAAGTGATTGTTGATAAATCAAAATAAATTAATAAAATTAAAACAAAAACAATAAGAGCAAGCATAAAATAGTATTTGTCAAGTATCAAAGTCAAGCATATAGTTTTCAGGTTCCCCTTTTCCCTTTGTTGAACACTGGGACATTTTCCCTTTTTTGGTCATGCAGCAACTGTCCCTTTTTCTATAATCTTTCAATGATCACTAACAGCAGCTCAGTAGTCAATTTACCAGTTTTTCCAGAATACTGATATAGTACATCCAAGCACAGTGACTTGTTTTCATTTAGGGATCTTAGATTGTCCTTACTCCTTCCTCTTTTTTCTTGGCTTTTAAACCCCATATCAATTTTTTTTTGTCCTTTCCTTTCTAGTCCTGAGTTCATTCTTCTTGGCTGCAAAAATATTTAAAGTAAAATAACAACAAAAATAAGACTGTCTCAAGTATTTCTGCCTTTTATGTATCATCCATTTTCAGTGTTACTGATATCTTCTTGATCACCATATTTGGGACAGCCATTGTTTTGCTTTTGTCTCTATTTCAACTCATTCTATTCTTTTATATATATTGGAATGCAATTGCTCAATGCTTCCCAAGTAATGATTTTATCCTTTATTGATCTTCTTTCACCCAATATAACTTAAAAAAGGCCTTCCCAACCCCTCTTCCTTTTAGCATTCCTTACAGACTCTACTGCTTCTGAAGTTTATCACTCCTTTAACAGAAACACACCAGTTTTTTGAATTAATTTGCCATTATCTGCTATCACTTCCATCTTCTTTCTATATGTGCCTTTTAAATAACTAAGTCGTTTTATCTATTCCTTGTCCACCTTCATGAAAAGCTTTCATCCTTTTTTAAAGTGTACTTTCTAAGAGAATAGTCATGCTCTTCTCCAAATTTCTGTCATTTACACTTCAACAACCAGAATGACTACTTGATTTCTTCTCAGGTACCTGGGGCTAATTTCTTGGAATCTGAAAATAAAAACTAATGGTGAATTTTCCATCCCAATTGCAAGACCAAAGGACAACAGGCCAGTGCTCCAATGTATTGGGGCTGCCAACCTACTCTGAGTTCTTTCAGTATTCAACTTCAAGGACAATTCATGATTTGTTGCTTCATCACTACCTGGTTGCGATTCTCTGTAAAATAAGCCTTTATATATTTCAAGATGAATAGTAATTTTTGCTGTACTTTGGTATTTAAATCAAAACGAACCTCACAGCATCTTAGCTTCAAATTCAGTGATTTCAGTAGCCAAATAAAACTTGAAGATATGCCCTAGAAATTGAGATTTGGGTAGATGGTATTGAGTAGATAATGAGAAAGAAGAAGGAAAGGCACAATGCATTTTCTTAGGTATTGAGGCAATTTGCTCAAACCCTTCCCCTTTCTTTCTAGAGAAGACATGAGATACTAAAGCAACAACAACTGGAATTTCTGTTGAGTCTATTTTTGCCACTTGTTGTCCTTCAGTCGTTTCAGTTGTGTCAACTCTTTGTGATCTCTTTCAGGGTTTTCTTGGCAAAGATACTGGAATGCTTTGCCATTTCCTTCTCCGGCTAATTTTACAGATGAAGAAACTGTGACAAACAGGGTTAAGTGACTTTTCTAGGATAACACAGCTAGTAAGTATCTGGGGTTAGATTTGAACTCATAAAGATGAGTCTTCCTCACTCCAGGCCTGGCACTCTATCCACAATGCCACTTAGCTATACATTTAATGGAAATACTGATCATCAAAAGAATTTTAACAGGGGTTCATAAAACCACAGATTTAGAGTTGGAATGAACCAAAGAAGTCACCTAGTTCAAGCACTTTATTTTATAGATAAGGAAACTCAGGCCCAGAGATATTAAGTGATTTGCTTCAAGTCATAAAAGTAATAAACCTCAGAAGTGGGATAAGAACTCTAGTCTCTTGTCTTCAGAATCAGTAATCTTTCTACTTTACTGCTCTATCTCCCTATGTATACTTTTTTCTCACTTACTGAAAAATGGTGCAGGCAAAAGAGCCTGAGGACTGCTCACGTTAGCCTGCTGAATTCTTAAAGGTTTCTAGCTCCCTTTGTTCTTCTGAATATTGTGCAGTTAGGCAATGTTCAGAAATCATTCAGATCAGTCTGCAATCTTGGCAGAGACGACCAGTCCCTGATTGTACTTCATCTACATGTTGTGCCCTTTCTCAGATCAGTACAAAAGAAATCTAGATGATTATCCAAGGTAGGCACATGTTCTAACTTTGATTTTAACATTACATTTTATTCTAGTAAATATAATTTCCTATATGAGTTTTGTCTCTTCCCCCATAAAAAGAACCCATGAGAATAATTAAGGCCTGTCTTGCTATAAGCAAATTAATGTAGTTCCTTTCTACTTTTTAAGAAAAAAGAGTAATAAATTAAAGGAGAGGGGAGAAAATGAAGGGAAATGCCAAATAGTTGAATGAATACAAGACCACAAAAAAAGAGAGACCATGATGAGCACAAGTCTTAGGAATTTCATATTCCCTACTTGATCTGATTTGTGATAGTGAATGTTGTATGTTAAAAAATTGAAACAAAATAAAAACTGTGCAGAAAAGTTAAAAAACACATAGTTTTTCAGCTAATTAAAAAAAACACTAAAAGTTAGTTGGATTCAATATGAGAGGGAGTATGGAGCGGTGGGGTGGATTTGTGAGTCAGGAAGACCTAGATTCTAAACCCACTTCAGATACTGACTACTTGTGTGAACCTAACCAAGTTATTTAATGTCTACAAGCATCACTTTCCTCATTTATAAAATGAGGAGGCTAGATTTGATGGCCGCCATCAAAATTTGTTACCAGCTCTTAATTTATAACCCCATGAATAGGAAAATAGGATGTTTTACTGAATTATGATGCTATTGTCTCAATCGTGAATCTGCCGGAAGGTTTAGTTTTACAAATAACAAGCCAAAATAAATGAGAATGCAGAATTGACACAAGCAGGGAAAGGCCTTCAAGACCTTTCCAGGCTTGAATATAAACTCAGTGGAACATTCAAGAGCCCAGTGGGGCCTTGTTTCTTTGCTAATACAATGATCTGTCTATCTTCAGCATCCACTTAGTTCAACAGGGTTTTCTGGAAGAGAGCAAGGGACAAGACTATGTTTGATTTTGCCTTTTCTAACATACTGCAGTTAACCCTGGAAATGAATTTGATTAAACCATTAAATAACAGGGACCATAACACAATTATGTTTGACATCTTCTCAGCAGGATCCTACCAAAAGGTAGTTAAGTAACACTAAAGTTCACGATGAGGGTCATAATAAAACGAGAAAGCTAACTTTTTCCCTGCGGGCCCTTTCCAAATAGGAAATTAAAATCCCTAGAATTGGTAAAGAGACTGCTGGAGAATAACTTATTAGAGTCAAAGGACATTTTTGTCAGGAGAGTACCCTCAATTTTAAGGTCATAAATGACACACCAAGTGTGTTAAATTGCCTTGACATCAAATCATGGCTCAGATGAAATGGAAGCCATGGAATAGTTGATTTGGGGGTGAAAAAATTATCCAAGAGAAATGTGAACTTAGGTTGAACTTGGCCAGTGATGACTGTGCAGATGAAGGTGTACTCAATGTCAGAGTCAACCATCTAACTACACCATGGCTAGGCCCTTGGATCTGATGTCTAAATGTATCACCATGCCTAAAGCATGTCTGTTCTGTTCTGTGAGCAAGGTGACTGCTCTTATTTATAACTGTGTCTGTTTTCTTACCAGCTCAATTTTGTCCATAAGTCCAACTAAGCAATTGACTAGATCCTGTCTATAATAGATGGCTCTCTCCCACTCAGCCCTCACTCCCAACTTAGGTCCACTGGGGATCTGAACAGAAATAACTCAAAAACTGCAAATAAGAGGTGCTTAATAAAAGCTTTCCTTTCTTTTATAAAGTGCAAAATTATTAGTGGCATAGTATATAATACAAATTGTGAATAAGTAAATACATAAATATTGTTTGCTAATTTTTTTATGAGTCAAAAGTTTGGAAACCACTGGTCTATGTTAGATAATCTGGGTTTGGAATGCCTGTTCAGGCCTATTGGGGGGATATACATGAAACATAATGATCCATATGTTAAGTCATGCAGATAAGTTGCCATGAATCTCTAAATAGCAGCTTTGAACTATATGTATAGTTATTCTACTTAATATGACAGAAGTCTTCACATGTAATTTATAGATTAAATATTTTCATGAATTACATACTTCAAATAGGCATGCCCTAAAACAGACATTTTAATTAGCAATAAAATGCAATCAGTGTGCTGCAAAAGATATTGACCTAATACTCAGGAGATCTGGGTTCCAGTTCTGTTTTTGCTTTCACTAAATGCAAAATTTTGTGTAGTTGAAAGAACACTAGTTTATAGTCAGAGGACCTGATTTTGAATCTCACCTTTGACACTTTTTACCTGTGTAACCTTAGATAAATCACTTAACATATGTGAACCTCATCCTCCATCCATAAGATAAGCGTATTGGACTATATCACTTTAAAGGTCCCTTCTGATTCTATAATATTGAATACATGAAGGCCCTAGTCATTGTGAGTGGCCATACATTAAAACAGACCTTCGAAATATGGATTCATACATCTGGATTTCCAATTTTCATAGGGTTGTTCATGCAGATTATGGAGAATCATAATGTCCATTTAATTCACAACATTTTTATAGTCTTTGTTAATTATAATATATTGAGATCTTAGTTGATATAAGATCATGATCTTGTTGTTTGTCCTTCATTATGAAGAGTACCATTGACATCATGGGGTGATGTCTTGACTCTCACATGAATTGGATTTAACTGAGACAAGGTCATCAGCCTCACTCTCTCTTCCTGAGTTATCAAAGTCCAGTGCAGGAAAAATCAGGATGATTGGTGATGGTCTGGGATGCAATAGATGACCTTGACATCTTCTATGTCTGACTAAGCTCTAAGCACTCCACAGTGCCTGCTGCAGCCACCTTTGTGGCCATTGGAACAAATTGTTCTCATCCACCTATTCTGTTGGGGGGAAGTCTTTACATAATTGGGGTAAACATCCCTTTAATCTGCTGGGAAGTTTGAGCCTTGTTGGTTATTCTCAAACCTGGTTTAGCCCATCTACTGAGATAGTTTTATTGGGGTGTGGCCACTGTGTATGCTACAGCTTTTTGGATCCACAGGTGAGAGTTGGGTGACAGACAGGTAGACAGTAAAGGTGGATGAACAGCCTTGAAAAGGAGTAGGGAAGCCCTCACACCAGAGATGCTAGTTCTCCCTGAACATCCATTACACTCCATCATAGAACTAGAGCTAGAAGTGATCACGCCATTCATCAGTCCAATCTTCTTATTTTTTAGATCAGAAAACTGAGGCCTAGGAGGTTAAAAATTCACCTAAGGTCATACGGTAGAAAGTGTCAGAGGTGGGATTTGAACTCAAGTCCTTTGATTTCATTTTGATAGAGTGTGAACTTCCTGAAGGGAAAGAATATTTCATTTTTTTCTTTGTACCTCAAATATTTATCACAGTGTCTCACATAGAGTAGGCACTTAATTATTTTTGTTTGCTTGATTATTCCAGAATGTCTGGAGGCTAAATTTTAGAGAATTACCTCAATATCTAAAATCTCCAACCATGAAATAGTCTATGCATTCTTAATTCTGTCAAATCTCAAACAAGTATAATAAATAGTTGTATACTACTTCAAGACCATCTCAGATCCTGACATTTGGCACATTTCACACTGATGTGACAGTATCTTCCAAAGTAAATACTGCACTCCAGAGAGAAAGTCTCAATTTTAGTTAAAAAAACTATTATAAATAATTAATAATGAGTTCTTGCTAAACAACAACAGGTGCTCAACTAATCCCAAACAGAAACAGATGCAAACACAAATGTTGGACAAACACTGAACTACAAGAAGAGCAATAAACTTTGGGGAAAGGCTTTTCTCCCCACCTTTTTCCTTCATCTAAGTGTCAATCATAAACAGAATCTTATCCAAGGTAGAGTTAAAAGGGATATCCTTAGCCTAAGTGCAGTTTTCAGCCCTTGGATCATAAAATTTAAAATTGAACTAGGACTTTGGGGACAGCCTACCAACTAATAAATGATTCTGAATCATAAGCATTCAAACCATTCAAAATCATGAAGAAAAAAAATAAGAGAGCAAACAGAAAATCGGGGACAAAACAAAACAAACAGGAAAAGATAAAAATCATCTAGAAATCATATAAATAAACTATTCACAGACATACAAAATAGATAAATAAATAGAGATGTTAAGAATTGAAGAAAATCTTATGAGTCATTTAGTCCAATCACCACTGGAAGCATGGACTCTACACAACACCTCTTTCAAGTGGTTTATCCAGCCTCTGCTTGAAGACTCCCAGTGTTGGAGAACTTACTTCAAAGGCAGATGATTCCATGGGGATAGTGGTCTTTGACAGGAAACTTTTGCTTACATCAAACTGAAATCTACTTCATTTTGTTTTTCATTCATTTTTCTTAGTCCACTCTTCTATGGATAACAAAAACAGGTCTATCATTTCTTCCCTATTATTGTCCTTCAGGTATTTAAAGACAATCACAGAACTACAAAGTTGAAAGAATTCTTGGTGGTTATCTAATCCAAAACATATATGAATGGGAACCTCTCCAATGATGATGATGATGATGGTAACTTCCATTTAAACAAGTACTTTAAAGTTTGCAAATTGTTTTTATCTATGTTATATTATTTCACTTAAAAAAATGTATAAGGTTGGTATTTTTGATATCCCCATTTTACAGATGAAGTAACTTGTCCTAAGTAACTCAGTTAGGAATATGATCTTAGGCAGAATTTGAAGTCAGGGTTTCCTGACTTCAAATCCAGCATTCTACACATTGTGCCACCTAGTTGTCTATATTGACAAATAATCATTTACCTGCCACTTAAAACCCCTCAGTGACTGGGAATTCATTGCCTCTAAAAGCCATCTATTCTAATTTTGGACCACTCTAATTGTATCAAAATTTGTGCTTATATCAACTGAAATTTTATTTAAGAGGGCAAGTGTTCTTTTTAAAGAGCATCTTGCTTGCAGGTGCTAATCTTATTTTTTGACATCCTATACACTAAATAACTTAATTTCTCAACCCTTAGGTCACTTCTTGCTTTACTTCATTTCTCTGAGCTTCGTCTTTAGTTCATGCTCGTAGGCTCTGCACTTCTGCCACATAATTTCTTGCCTACTAGACATACGTTATGAACAATAACTTTTCAAGGCTGCTGTTGTTTCATCTGTAAAATGAGGAGCTTATATTAGATGACTACTTAGGTTCCTTCTAACTCTAATTCTGTCATTGTTCTAAATCTACCAGATATTTCCTGTCTCAACCAATTCCTGATTCTGGCTCCTCTTGTGTCTTGTTGCCACCTATATAATACATGCTATTACAGTAGCTTATCACATGTACAACAGAGAGTGGGGAGTCCCAATGATATTTTGTGTTTGTTACCTGATTAACTCAAGAAGCTCTATTACTGGGGAAGTATGGAGGAGAAATTGCTAACTCCTCAACTAATACAGAATAGGAAAAAGAAGGAAAACAGAGAATCAAAGTGAAGGTCAAATGGTTAATGATATGAGTGTGCCATGTAAATGGAAAACATAGGCCCAAGCCTGAACTTTTCATCATCGTTAGGTGGTAGAGTGTCCCCTTTTCAAATCTCAAGCCAGTATATGGTCCTCCTCAGCAAGGCATATTCAAGAAAATGTTATCACTATTATGTCATTACTGCATTCAAAGGAATGGTCATCATTTTGCCAGGAGAAAAGTACTATATGCAGACACATTGACGGTAACCTCCTATAAATTTACACTGATGGTTGCATCTTGTTTAGCAGATCTTTATCTATTATAATACTGCCAGAAATGAAAGACGAGTCCTGTGAATATTATACTCTAACTAACCCTAACTGGTTTTTAATCAGGAGCAAGTGAGTCCTGATGGCTCACATTTAATTTGACAATTCATAATTTTATGACAAATTCCCTAACTACTAGTATTAATTTGGCAAATAACATATGATTATCATGTCTTGCAAGATGATACAGAAAAGATTTAGTGAAATACATAGATAACAGAATTAATAATACACATTAGTCATTTGTTAATTCATGTTAATCATCATTTCTCTTTGCCAACACAGTATATGCTATTCACACACTTGTTGCAAACAAACAGCTGTTCATATGAAGTAAAAAAGTATATTGTCACCATCTCTAAATTATGTCTGTATCTTAAAACATGGGTTTTATATATTTCAAATATACATATGTTTGATAATTTACACATATGTAATACATATACATTTTGTTGCCCAGTTATTTTTAAGTCATGTCTAACTCTTTTTTTCTTTTTTGGCTAAGCAATGGGGTTAAGTGACTTGCTCAGTGTCACATAGCTAGTAACTGTTATGTGTCTGAGGCTGGATTTGAACAGAGGTCCTCCTGAATCCAGGGCCGGTGCTTTATCCACTGTGCCACCTAGCTGCCCCTCATGTCTAACTCTTTATGACTTCATTTAGACTTTTCTTGGCAAAGATACTGGTGTGGTTTGCCATTTCTTTCTCCAGCTAATTTTGCAGATGAGTAAACTGAGGTAAACAGAATTAAGTGACTTGCTCAGGGTCACCTAGCTAGTAAGTATCTGGGGTTGGATTTGAACTCAAAAAGATGAGTCTTCCTGATTTGAGGCTCTATTCACTGTGCCACCTAGCTGCCCCTATACACATAAATATATCAGTATAATTGGTTTCCTTCTCAGTCCTATATATTTTATTTTATGCATTTAAAAACATTATCCTGAAAAAAACAGTTCTAGGCTTCTCCCGGCTAAGAAAGGGGTCCATGGCACACAAAAAATGATTTAGAACCCTTGGTCATAATGGAGTATGGGAGAAGTAGGACTAGAATTTGATGTCTTACTCCAGGGAAAATAGATGTAGAGGTGGTAGTATAACAGATTGACTGAAGTGTTTCCTGTGTGATTTGTACATACCAGTAATAATGCTAAAGACTATTCCTTTTCACCAATCTTGACATAATGATCTTACTAAATAACAATAAAAGAATGTGTATAATATATATCACTTTAAGGTTTGCAAGGTGCTATATATATGTTAACTCACTTGATCTTCAAAACAATTCTGCAAGGTATCAGTTATTATTATCTCTTTTACAGATGAGGCAATCTAAGGTTGTGATTTGCCCTGGGTAACAGAACTAGTAAGTGCCTGATGCTGGATTTGAACTTAGAGCTTGTTGACTCCAAGTCTCTTACCTATTACATCACCTAATTGCCTCATCAGAATTTTTTTCAGAGCATTGAAATTTTTGTGTTTCTAATATTTAATGTAATATTTTAGTGTGATATGGCCTTGGTTATTCAGAAGTCTTGGAAAATGAGTCATTCTAATAGACTTTATTCTGAGATAGCTGAGACTTCAGAACTTAAGATAGTTCTCCTTAAAGTCTAGGTAAGGAAAACCTGATGCTTTCTAGCTTAGGTTAACAAAAATCACAAGAATCATTAATCAAATTAATATTGTTTGAAAACTATAAAAATTTTTATTTATTTACATTTTTAAACTTGAGGTGCTGAAAAAGGTAAGAGAAGTTTTGCTGTATTTGAAAATGTATTAGCAAATGCAGGCATTAAAAATTATCAATTCAGTAACAATGCAATATTCAATAAACATCAGTACTGATAATTTATTACTAAAAGACATAGTTCTAAAATATATGTAGTATATTAATCATTTTAATAGACATTAACAAAATAACTCTCTAATGGTGCTTCTAAGTGATAAGCCCAGCATATGTGAGTTAAATTAACTTGAAAAGAACTGTCACTATTCATTTCATCGTTGTCTGTGAGATCACATATAGATTGTCAAGAGTAGTCATCCAAATTCTATCAGGCACATATGGCGGTTAGAATGAAAGGAAAGGGGTCTATCATCTAGTGAGATCTAAAATATAACTTTTTCTTGGTATTAAAAATCAGGTGATTTGTCTCAAGCTTTTTTTTTCTTGCTTGCTTCTCCTGACATGTTAAGATGATTCTTTGCTTCACTTCAAGAGATTAGTAAAGATATTAGCACTTGTAGCTTTCAATTGCTTCAGTTTGCAATAACCCATGCAATAATGACTATTTTTGTTTCATTTGTTTCATTTTCCACAACAACAAAAACAACCACCACAAAGAGAAACATATTAGTCCACAGAGCAGCAGAAAACCTTAGAAATAAAGATTATTAAAACAGAAAAGTGCAAAAATTGGTTTGGAGTACCTGGTTTTAAATCCCCTTGGGCAAACATGTCAATCATATAGCGACAGAATGCAAACTGATCTAACAGAGTGGAAAGAAAAAACAGCAACGAAGAAAGTTTAACAACCTTGTTTTTGCTCTTCAGGGAAGAAGCAGTCTGACAATGAAAACCAAAAATTGTGATTTTGAGTCATTCAGCTTCCTTTTTCAGGAAATAATTTGCACTTACACATACATATCACATACAAGAAAATATATGTTAATGTAATGTTCCATTAAAGGTAATAGACTTGAAAGCTGGGATAAACTCATTATATACTGTAATTTTATATTGAAATTCACCCATTATTTAGCAGCACTGAAGAGAAAGTCATTATATTCCTACCAAAATCCTCAGTGTCCTTTTGCAGACTAGAGATAACCAATCACAGAATCTGCCTGAGGCAAGTATTTCTAAACCTTACTGTTTGGCCTCAAGTCTTCTTTCCCCAAATGCATCTAGAGAGCAATCAGAGAAAGATAACCCACTGACAACCTACCAACAATCCTTTGTATGGAAAATTCTCTGTAGTATAGATGAGAAATGTGTTCTTCATTCTTAAAGAACCAAGCTATAGAGTGGTTGGTGAGTTAAGCTATTATCAAAAGTAAATTGAATCATCTTATGATCAATCTAGTTTATTGCCAGTGAAGAATGTACATATAGAAATAGGTATTTCAATATTAGTTTAGCAATACATAGTGATTTAGCTCTATATGTGAATATATATGTATGTGTGCGTGATCACACACAGAGCTGTGTATATATATATATATACACATATGATTTGTATGTCACAACCCAAGGTGCTGACAAATCATAATCACTATATTCTGTTCCAGGTTGACATTGGCTGGTTTGTTTCACAAGAAAACATTTGTTTTCCCTCTGGTAGATGCAGTCTAAATCTCAATGAACAAAACTTTGGGGAATTAATTATTTCATATTAATTTTTATGGATATCTTTTAAAATGGTTTACAAATTAATATTTTTAAAGCAGGAATTTAACTGGCTCCAAATTCAAAAACTGATTTATGACTAGAACTATTAATTATGCATAAAACAAATTATCCTATAAATCATATTTTGATATATTAAATCAGAAGTTATGTGAATACAAATTCAGAGAATCAGAAATCCAAATTAGGGTAATAATATTTGAAGTATAAGAAAACTTTTAGTTACTCTATTTCATTTTAAGTCTCTCAAGACAAAAACAAGAATTTTACGTGCACAATAACATGTATACACATATTTCCATTGTTAAAGTAGTTCAATTGGTTCTTTAAAAGCAAATCCTTTTAGGTATTTAAATACAACTAATGATTTAATATTCTAAGAGTTTATTTTTGATTCACTTGTTTTTAAACTCAAATCATATAAAAATGATGATAACCAGATCCCCATGCTTGACTATTTAATTCTTGTGAAATAGCTTCCATTGCTGTACTCATTATAAGTTTGGCCTATGTCAAAGTAATGACATATTGGATTATGGGTAAGTCTAGCTGCCCAAGGTGGCATAGATCATCCAGTCCCATTTGTTGCTGTTGTTCAGTCATTCAGTCTTGTCCAACTCTACATGATCCCATGGACTTTTTTTGGAGTTTTCTTGGCAAAGATACTAGAATGGTTTGCCATTTCCTTATCCAATGTGTTCCCATTTTACAGATGTGGAACTAAGGAAAATAGGTTAAGTAACTTATCCAGGGTCACACAGCTAGTAAGTGTCTGAGGCCAGATATGAACTTAGGTCTTCCTGAAGCTAAGTCTGGCAGTCTATCCACTGTACCACCTAGTTACTTCTATTTTGTCTTCAACATCATCCTACCTCCCTTTCAGAGTCCTCATCCCATCTGATGTTGCTCATCCCCTCAGGCCTTTAGGTGTATAGTGCCCTCAAAATATCCAATGATAGTATTAGCTAACTCCAAATTTCCAAAATTAAATATCTGCCCTAAGAAATCATTTCTCATGTCAAAACACTCATTTCCTCGTTGCCATTCCCCAACTAGCTATTGGGAAGAAAGTAATCTGACTTAAATATCAGGTCTTTGAATAAGCAACTCTATGACTTTGTACAAAGTTCATGACACCTTTTAGCCTCAGAGACTTTATTTATAAAATGAAGAGGTTGGATAAGATGTTCTTTAAGGTCCCTTTCCAACTCTCATTAGTTCCAGGATTCTACAGATGCCCAGGTAAGGAACTGTTGAGCAGCAGTTGTGTTGGACAATGTATTTTGTACAGGATATATGTAACTTCTCAATTTTACAAAAAATATAAATTAAAAAATCAAACTTGGCTGTAAAGAGAGAATTTTCAAATATGAAGCAAGGCAGGTGCTGATATTGTTGCCAGGAGTCCAGATTTGTGTTTACAAAACAAAAGATCTTCCATGAGTCATTTGTATGAGCTGAACATTAGAAGAGCTTCTGGTCTACATGGTTCTGCCTTAGGTTTGGTTTGGTTTTGGTGTGGGGTTTTTTTTTTGAAAGCTTATGGCATAACTTGCCCCTCCACAGGGAGAAAGAAATTTGATGAGTAGAATTCTGAGAATGAAAAAAGGCTACTAATATTTGTCAGCCTGACTCATGCATAAATGAATTTTAAGTATAATGATAATAATAATAAGACATCTCAATGTGAACAAGACTTTTTACATTTTCAGTTTCAAAACTAAGCTATCTACTCCCACACATTCATAAGGCTTATCTTCACTTGATAGCTTTATACTCTTTATTTAGGTTCTAGTATGTGTCCCTCAAGTTGTTAGTTTATTTGTTTTAGTCCTGAGCCAGGATTTTATTTTGTGAAGGCCACCCCCTCTGTTGACAGAAGTAAATCAGTAACTCATCTACAGAGGGGTTGTGGTATAGAGCTCTATCCTTAGCTCAGAGAGAGTAGAGGAGCCTCTATGAGCTGGATAGAAGGATTCCAGGCTTAAGAAGAAGTGATGATACTGAAGGTAAAGGGAAACAAATAAAATTCAGATCTTGTGAACAGAACTGTAATCAGGAAACTTTTCCCCCCACAGTGGATGACTTGATTGGATTTATGGTTTAGTTCCTTGAAGATATACTACAACTTCACATATAAATATGTTCCTTTATAGTGTCATTATATCTGCTTATATATATTATATAAAGATAGCTATGATTTTGTATCCAGTCACCATTTATATATATACATATATATGTATATATATGTATATATATGATATGTGTATACATGTGTATAAATGTATATACATATATTGATATACATACATATACATGTGTGCATATGTATATGTTTATATGGGTATATATATACACCCATATATATACACCCATATATATATATTTTTTATTCAGTCACCACTTTTGGATTTCCTTTTTTTCCCCACCCAAATGAATTCTGTCCTAGAAAAGAAAAAAAAACCTTTTTGTTTCCCATTTCTCTCTTTTAGGTTCTCAGGGAATAGTGACAGACAGGACTCAGCTGCTGCCTTGGATGCATGCCCAGGCTTATGGAAGCTACGAAAAGGTCATTCTAGGTGAAATAAGTCAGCAGCCAGAAAAGTCAGCTTCAGTTGGGAAAGTACCCCCTAGTGGAGTATCATTGGCCCTCCCTATATTACCACTCTGTCCTCATATCAAAGACATATGTGAATATGGAGTAAATTTTTCAAGAGTTACAGATATCTAATACTTTGTTTAGATTCAAGTTGTCCAAATATGGGGACCCCAAACACTTTTTATTAAATTTAAAAGATTTATCCATATTACAAATATATTTTTATGACACAGTTGGAGCTACTTGTCATACATTCTAGAATATGTATTTCACGTACTATATTCATAGTCCAAGAAGAAAATTTGCCTAAATAACATTTTATATGGATAAAAATTCCTATTTTCTCTAATATCTTTTCACTCTTTTCCTATTATTTTTCATTGTGAAGGGCTATCCCAAACACAAAGACTTTTGGAAAACTGACAAATAAAGTTCTGGTCTATGAAAATATCAACTAAGTAGGAGATAGCTTCAAGGGCACCTGGCTGTTTTCCATTGTAGTACAACTGGTACTAATCAATAGCTATTCAGAATCTATTTTCCATGTGCCCTATAAGTGGATCCATGAACATTTCAGGGCCCAAATAGTAATAATGGAAAGGGCAAGTGTTATTTCTAATTCTTTTTCAGTTTATATTAGTTTAAAACTTGAAAAAAAATCTTCTAAGAGTCCCAAGGACAGAAACAAACAACTGATTGCTCCATGCTCAAAGTCTGCAGTTCAATGATGAGAAAAGGGGCTTATAAAAAAATCAAGTGCCCTAAATTTTACAGAGTACTGATAGAAAAATGGGCGTGCTGTTTTTGTTCTTGTGCTTTTATTCTACCATTTCAAATTTTGAAATCATTATTTGTGGATTCAGGAAAAAAAGTGCTTTGTTTTTAAAGTAAAAGACAAGAGTTTTGGACATCTTACTACCATCCTACTCTGTATTGCACTGCCATTTTCATAGGCTGCACCTCCCTAAAAGGGAGGGGGAACCTCATTAATTTCCAGAATTTCGCTCTCCAAATTGTATTAGTCTTCTTCAACTGCATTTAACTCTAAGTTTTATGTTTTGTTATTTTATTCAAACTAAAACTGAGGGAAAAATTGGCCCTCAAATAAAACTCATCAAGCAACCAAAACAAGTAAAAATGTGATCATTTTCTTTCACCTATGCCCCCAGAATTCTTTATCGAAACACCTTAAAATAAACCAAAAGAAAGTTGCCTATGGAAGCATAAAATATTCTATATGAAAGGTTATTAACCTTTATTTGTATCTTAGAACCTTTGGCAGTCTGGCAAAGCCTATGATCTGCTTCAAAGAATGTTTTCAAATGCATCAAACAAAACACATAAGATTCCAAAAGAAACTAATTCTATGAAATAGTTATCACAATATTTGAAAAACCCAAGTTCATGAATTAGGAACTACAGCTTAGGAACCCCTTCTCTAGAAGTAAAAATTTTGTTGCCTGTGTCGCAAGTAGAGAATTTATGTGACAAGTAAATAGGGAAGGAATTGAAGTCAAAGCTGGAATGAGGACAGAATCAGTTGGGACCAGAAGAATACTGCTGCTATGCTTTTACAGATCCACTAGAAACACTGTTCCTTTGCATTTACCTAATACCATTCTACCAAGAAGCTCAAGGCTTTATACGAATTATATTTCATATTTTACATATAAATATATACCTTTGTTTACATCTGTAAGCATTCAAACAATATTTAACCTTAATAGCTCTTTGATATTGGTAAATATTTTCTTTATTTTGAGACCAAATCAGCAATTCCATTGGTATATGAAATTCCCAGTGATCAAACTCTCTCTGCTAATGTAACCCAGCACCTGCTCTGCGATTTAGTATTAGACAATTGCCTGGAAAACTGAGACATGAAGTGACCTTTCCAAGGTCACAGGCTGGGTCATGTCAGAGGCAGTAATGGAATATTCTGACTTTGAGGATCACTCCCTATACCTTATACTATGATGCCACCCACATGTCATAATTCTGATTTTTACAAGAGAGGATACTGAGGCTGCTCTAGAGTCTAAGGTCTTCACATGAGTCCCTGGAATCTGGATCCAAAGTTCAAGTTTCCATCTATTATTTCTTGCTGCCTATTAAGAGGATATCATCTCCATAAGGTTATTCTTTTAACAAATGGTACCCGAAAGAGGTTGCATAATTGAAACAACTAAAATATGTGTACAGTGCTATGATTTTTTTCATTAAACTCAATTTACACACATAATCCTTGAGACAGCAGAATACACTGTAAGCATGATCTGGTATATTGTGTTTTCCAAATTTTGGTTAATGAGTTATTCTGGGAAGCACATTTTACAGTGGTGATTTTGTTATTGTTGTTGGTTGTTGTTGTTGTTGTTGTTGCTGGTTTTTTTTTTTTGCCTCTCTGGAACCTGATCCAAATGAACAGTCCTCATGAACGTATAAGTTAAAAAGAAGCCAACCATTTGTGAGCACCCTTCTAATGATAATCACCAAAGCTCAAGATTTGCTTTTATAAAACCAATAACCACACCTTTCAGCTCAATTATGCTGAAGGAAACATATCAAAACATTAATCTCTATTTGCAAAAACATTTTTCATCTTGCTGTATCTAAAATTTCAATCCTTAGATATCGCATTTCCAGTTAATGATATCGGAACCCATAGGGGATTATTTTAATTGTCTTTATTTTTCTTGCATGAAGTTTGATTCTAAGTCTTTCTTAGCTTTGTTATTGTCTCTGTTTCTTTCCCACTACTCTCTTAGAATCTTCAGATGCTTCCTCCTTGAAATGTTTACCTTTCTGTTCATTTTTTGAAACAGCTGCAGTTCCTTTTTCTTCTTTGCCTTTGGGTTTAGCTGGTGTTTTCTCCACCTTTTTTGCTTTGGCATCAGCTTGCTTCACCTTCTCTGGTTTTCCACTTTTCACTTCCTTCTTACTCTTTTCTTCAGCTTTTGAGCTTTTACTCTTCTTCTCATCTACAAATAGCAAAAATGGTTGTTTAAACAACTCTCCCCACCAAAGGGCATATACTCTTTCTCTTTGGAACAATAAAATGAGGTTAAAAAAAAAAAGAAAGACTAAAAAAACCTACTTCTTCTTACAAATGTGTTGAAAAGATAATTATAATAAAACATGCACAAGAATTCTGAGCCCTTTAGAAAATAAAGATTTATACCCCTTCTAGGTCTGTACCCCAAAGAGATCACAGGAAAAGGAAAAGGACCAATATTTGTGGTGGCAAATAATTGGAAACCGAGGGGATTCCCGTCAATTGGGAAATGGCTGAACAAGTTGTGGTATATCATTGCAATGGAATACTTTGTGCTATAAAAAATGATGAGCAGGATATTTTCAAAATAACCCAGGAAAACTTACATGAAGTGATATATAGCGAAATGAGCAGAAGAAAGAGAACATTGAACACAGTTATAATACTGTGCAATGATCAACTGTGAATGACTTAGCAATTCTCAGCAATACATAATCCAAGACAATTCTGAGGGACTTAAGATGAAAAATGCTATCTATCTCCAAAGAAAAAACTGATGGAATCTGAATGCACAATGAAGCATACTTTTTATTATTTAAATTAATTATTCTTGGTGGGTTTTGTTTGTTCTGTTTCTTGGTCTGCGTTTTCTTTTGCAACCTGGCTAATATGGGAATGTCTTGAATGGCTGCACATGTATAATCTACATCAAATCGCTTTCCTTCTCAAGGAGGGGAAAGGGGCAGAGGATAGAGAAAGAATATGGAAACCAAAATTTAGAAGATGAGCTAAAATTGTTTCTTTACATGTCATTGAGAAGAAATTAAATTAAATATAAAAAAAGATAAAGATAAATGATAATTATATTGGTCTATATATAATTTCCATCCTTATTTTTAGGGAAATAATATACAGATATACAGTGAAAAATAACTGATTATGAACCACTCAGGTTTGACACAATTAATATTCCAAATATCAATATACTAAAAAAGAACTCTACAGTAAGACTTCAATTTCTCTATTCTTTGTTGTGGATTTTAAGCCTTTATTCTTTTCGGCAACTGATTTGTAAAATATTAGCTTATTTCTGAATAATCAGTAGTACTAACAAGTCAATCAATAGTTTTTTAATGTAATCTCAGTGTGTGTGTATATACACATACACACATATGTATGTATGTATATACATGCAAAGATTACAAGCACATCCATATTTAAAAAGTGGCCTAAATACATTCAAATAGGTTTAATATTCATGTCCTAAGGGCTATTCCACAAATACCCTTCAAAATGCTTCAAAATAATTTTCAATGAGCAAATGGGACATCACTAGTATTTTAAATAACAAGGCAAATTAAAAAGTATTATCTATTATACGGTATATCTAAATTTTAACAATTTGGCTTTAAAGAAGTTGAAAAGAGAGCTAGATCACACAACTACTGTCATTTCTACTGGAAAGGTAATACTATGTACCAAGATTAGGTGGTTAGGTAGTTCTGCGCAAAAATAACTTAACATTTAAAGAATTAACCAACATAACATTAAAACTTTTTCTATAGGCAATCCTATGAATGTATTTTTAGTTCTTTAGTTCATTCCAAGAAAAAAAATGTCTAATGTAAAAACATAGGAAGTATTATATAATTCCAATCCTGATACTGGGATTATTCACCCCGGAGTATGTCAGAACAATGTAGTATATTACTAAAACCATATAGTGTGTGGAAGTAGCAGAATCCAATAAATAAATCATAAAATTCAGAGTCAAAAGATGTGCCTTATGTTTCCTTTTGTGCCCCTTACATCTGGGAGATCATGGTAAAACTATTCCTTTTTATAAGAGTGTTGAGATGATACTTATGATAATGTATGCGAAAGTACTCTGAGATGTTCAGAAGAAACAAAATACGTAGGCAAAATATTATTTTGATTTGAATTTGGACTGAACCACATATAATTTTATGGAAAGAAAATATAAATATACACTGAAAAATAACACTGATTATAGATATCATTCAAGTTGCATACAATCCAGATGGTGATAGGGAGTGTGGCCTATATATATATATATATATATATATATGAACAAACATAGCATATTATTGAGACTCAGCATGGCATAGTGGATCAAAAGTAAGCCTTAGTGGCAGAGTGGATAGAGCAAGTCCTGTAGTTAGGAGAACCTGAGTTCAAATCCAGGCTCAGACACTTACTACCTATGTAACCCTGGGAAAGTTAGTTAACCTGATTGCCTCCTCCCCACAAGAAGGCAAGACTTAAAGTGAGAAAGACTTGAGTTCAAGTCTTACTTCTCATAAATGCTAGTTATATGACCCTAGGAAAGTCCTATGACCTCTCAGTGTCTCATACAGCTAATTTTCTAATATCACAAGTTGTAGAATAAGTACAGATCATTGTTGTTAGAGGGAATTTCTTCATTGAAAGCTCTTTATATAAAGGAATCTCAGATCTGGTCCAAAAAAAAAAGTATATTCTTTGTAGAGCTAACAAATAAATGTGATCCTAAAATTTTTGTGCCAGTACTTTGTTTTTAAGACTCAGGTGTGCAGATAGCAATATAAGTTTCCAGGAATATAATAAAGACTATTTAAAACATTTTGTAGAAACAGAAAATCATTGGTGTTTCATCCCTACTCAGTCACTTCCATAACAAAAAAAAGGAAACAGAGGTCAGCAACTTGGAGATGTTATCAAAGGACCTATTGGTCTGTTTGGTGAAACCTTGACTCAGAGAATTAGAGCAAAATAAAGGTACTTTAATTTTGTCTGTGTAGATGTAAGGTTGCCTGCACTATGCCCTGAAAGGGTTTTAATAATCATATGTGTTGAAAGTTGCTGGAGAAATTTTTTGTGCTGATTCCTCTATCAAGTACAGAATGGTCAGAATACTAGACCCCGGATCCCTAAGGAGAAGAGTGTGTGGTATGTTTATGTGGGATGAGGAGGTAAGGGAATATCGGGAAGGGAGATGGGACCCTTAAGGATTTCAAGTCCAAAGTTTCTTAACCACTCCAGAGATCCCAAGTTTTCATTAAGAATCCAGGTCTCCCAACCCTGATGCTCCCCCCACCCCCAACCAAGGCACATCATATTTCATTTCCTTCTCTCTATCAAGAGATTTTAGTAATGACCCATTCCATAAGCCAAATTTGAAAGAACAGGGCAATCAATGTAGAAGTTTCATGTGTGCCCACAGAACAAATAAGATCATGAAGCCCTGATACAGTCTCTTTCATACTGATTTTTTTAAGAGCCCTTTTGAGATTTCATGTAAATGTTTAGCCACATGTTGGCTCAATCTTGTGATGTCTAAGGCTGATATTTTCTACACCAAGCTAGTTCATTAGCAAATTGGTACCAACTTTAAATAAAATCATGGTCAAATTATTCAGTTAAATTCAGAATTTATCTTTCTTTTTAAATCTAAAAATATACATACATATGTATATTTCCATAGACATATCTATATGTAAATATAGTCAATAAAAGCCTTCCTATAACTTAAATTGATGTGTATCCTTTCTTTCTGTTTTCCCTAACTTTATATCTTGATCTATTGATAGATATCTATTTATCTCTACTTTCATATCTAGCTTTATCCAACATATAGATAGACAGATAGACAGACAGATAGACAGATATAAAGATTGTGAGGATAAAGAAACCTAATTTATTCAGTCTACCATTTTAAATTACATGAATTATTTTTGGCTATCTATGACCAATATACAACCAATTAAAGGACTTTACAATATCTGTGAAGCCTTATAGATCTATTAAAAGTAGGAATCATATTAATAAAATATAGTAAAGAGCATAATTCTAGCTTCCAGATATGTTATTATCCTGACATATTTGGAGGCTCTTATACATGCTTTTTGAGTGTTTGAAATTGTAAACTTTATTTTGCACATACGTAAATCAGTTCAAAAGCATTCGTTGTCTACTCTGTTCCATGCACTAGGCTAAGCTGAGGGAATTCAAAAAAGGTAGAACACAGTCTCTGGTCTCATGGATTTCCCTGTCTAAAAAGGGGATCAAGGAAGAACAGCTGCACACAATTATGTAAAAACAAGGTATATACAGGATAAACTGAAGATAAGCAACAGGGGAAAGGCACTAGCATTAAGGAAGAGTCCAGAATTCTGTTATTATGCACATTGATCTGTATAAATTTTCAAAACCAATCCTGAAGTATAAATGGATTCATATAACTATTATTCAATCTACTTATCAAACACATCAATTTTTTTTCATTAAAATATACATAATCATAAAATAATCACTAACAATTACCTTTGAGTAGTGATTTCATTTCTGGTTTTTCTTTTTTCTCAGGTTTATCTTTGTGACTTGCTGGAAAGAAAAAGATGATCATGAGTTTGAATTTAAGAATTAATAATTACCAGTTCAAGTCACATGAGCAAATTACTTTTCTTGCATTAATAATAAGTAACACTTGTATTGTCTTTTAAGGTTTGCAAAGCACTTTTCACTTATTATATCATTTGATTTCCACAAAAATCCTATGAGGTGCTTTTTTTTGCCATATTATAGATAATAAAACTGGTGATTCTTTTTCTTTTTTTTTGGCTAGGCGATGGGGTTAAGTAACTTGCCCAAAGTTACACAGCTAGTAAGTGTTACGTATCTGAGGCTGGATTTGAACTCAGGTCTTCCTGAATCCAAGGCTGGTGCTTTATCCACTGCACCACCTAGCTACCCCTAAAACTGGGGACTCTTAAAGAGAAAAACAACTCAAGCAGAATAAATGATAATAGGCAAAATTTATATTATGGGTCATGAAATGATCTACTCAACTAATCCATAAAGCCATTCTTGGGGTCAGCTTCCAGGATTACAGAGGGAAATATTGTTTATTCCTCCTGCTACTAGAATCCATCTGTCCCCAACCAATACTCCCATTATATACTTCATAAGTTTCTGTCAATCTTCCTTGCATTTCAAACACTTTTAGGAGGGCGGCCCATGGCACAACCTCAGTCACTGCATTATTCCTAATGAGAATCAACATGATTCAGTGGATGGGACATAGGACATGAATTCAGGAACAACTGAAATGGTAACTATGTGATTCTCAATAAGACAATCACTCTGGAAGCATGTGTTACATAAACATGAGCTGTTATTTTTAGTGAAGGAAAGTGATCGTGAATCTCTTCTTCACAAATAAAGGAAGAGAATAAATAGAGAATAGATGGTATTCTTAAATGTTTCTGACACAAGTTCTGTATATTAATCTATTATTATTACATAACATGGCAGATGTGATCATAGTAGATGAATATTACAATGGTTTTCCAAGGCAAGTGGAGTCTCTAAGTATGAATTCCACCTCAAAGAAAAGTCAGTAGTGATTGAGTGGAGAGGATGAGTAGAGAGTCAAGAGGACTGCACATACAGTATGCATTATGCCACAGTTTTTGTAAGTGAGCTGATATACTATGACTTAGCTTTAATCTAATATATTAGTTTTAGTATCTGTAATTTCATCAGTATGGGTATGTACCCTCTACAAGTTAATTGATAGTCTTCTAGAGTTACTGAATCAAATTCAAAACAATAGAAATAATTAAGTAGCAAAGGGTGAGAGATAATAAGTTATCTTGAATTGAGCAACAAGGGCTGTAGGTGGGGGAGGTTAACTGATGGGGACTGTAGTTTAAGTATTTTTTGTTCATGTACAATTTTATTTCAGTCACATAAAATACAATAGAGTCCCTCCAGTATCTAATCATTCATACATCAGCCTTCAGTATTATCTCACAGGTTCCTCTAGGCATTTGGTTTAGTGTATAAACACTGGGTATCAGGGATCAAACACTACACAATAGCATTTGAATAAATACATTCATAGTGTATTGGAATGTATGGAAACTCATTAGAATGGTACTATCCAAACAGGATTTCTAATGCTAATTCTTCCATTAAGTAACAGTTAACCATCACTTCACTTATCTGGGCCTTTCTTTTCTTATCTGTTTAAGAAAATGGTTCAACTATATTCTCCCTAGAGCCAGGGATTCACTGGTAAATATCTAACAACTGGCTCTTTGGGGGTAAATGTATGCATGCCATACCTTTAAGTTCAGTCTGCATATTAACATTGTCTCCCACACTTTCTTAAGTCTAGATGACTTCCCTGGGCAATAGATAGGTAGATAGATAGATAGATAGATAGATAGATAGATAGATAGATAGATAGATAGATAGATAGACAGATAGATGAATGAATGAATGAATCCCTGAATTGTAGCATTTCCTGATTTCTGAGGTGTAAAAGCTCACTCTGAAAATTTAGCAATTGGCTTTCATGAGCTGGTACAATCTGGCTCCAGCACATTCATGTTGGATTCCTTTCCAATGGAAAAAACAAAACAAAACAAAAAACAACATGATCTTTAGTATTTATTGAGTGCCTAGGAGGTGACGATACTCAAATCATTAATTCACATCAAATCAGCAGCTACTAGGCCCGATAGGAAATGACTTTCTTATTGCAATTATAACTTATTGCAATTATGATTACTGAAGGATGGCACTTCCATGAAAAGTACCCCCAAGCAATTTTTGTGAACTTTTAAATGTTTAATTGCTTGATTATTTATTGAGTGTTGTTTGCTATTTTTGAAAAAATCTTTACAAACATGTGAAATAGATCATTCTCTTACAATTGTAGAAGTCAGATTATTCAGTAAAATATCAATTTTCCACATAGCTACAGTAATTTTAAAATTATAAATTGATTTCCTTGGGTTCTTTAATATACACTCTGTCAAATCCATTCTTTCTCTCCACAATTCCCACTGGTGTGATAAAGCAGCGTGTCCAAGGACCATAAACTGATTTTAGTTTAGGTGAAAAAAATAATTGGTAAGGTAAATCTACTTAGTAGTTAGGCAAGGCTGTGGGTAGAATTGATTGAACCAGGAAGACTTGAGTTTGAATCCTGCCTTAGACATTTGCGAGATGTATAAGCCTGGGAAAGTACATAAACTCTCCCTGACTCAGTTTCATCAACTGTAAAATGGAGATAATAATACAAACCCACTTCTCAGGGTCATTGTGAGAATCATGTGAGTTAATATACATAAAGCATTTTGCAAATCTTAAAGTGCTAGCTATTATTTTCAATGACATTACTGTCAAAAGTGTGTTTAATTGGTGGGAGCATAATAATATAGCATGAATTCAATCTTTGGAGTAAAATGTCTGTTCCTTTAGGAAAAATATAACAAATAAATGATCTGTGATGGTTGTATTTTGCCAAGGTTGTTACATACACTCTCTGAAACAGAGAAAATCTCTAGAGGTTGGGAAAATAAACAACTTGCTAATGTAATTTGTGTATTGTGTATTATAAATTGTGATGTCCAGTGATTTTTATTCCATTTCAAATATAAAATATTTCTTCCAGTAGATCTTGCTAAAATTCTAATCAAAATAACTAGCTCATAAATTTTTCCTCTGAAAAAGCAGTAAGAACATGATGAATTTGAGAAGCAGGAATCTAAAAGTGCTTGCTTTTATATACTGCTATCCTACTAACTTTTGGGATCCATGTGACTAAATGAAAGTGATGCTGGGAGTTACCATGCAGTATACTCTTTCTGTTTGCAGTTTAAAGGCTTTAAACTGAATTCAGCTTTTAGGATCCCATTTTCAAAATCTCATTTTTTTTAATCTTCCAACTCCATGCAACATATGTGGTAAAGAGAAAAGGGATGAATACAAGAGCTGGACAAGAAAATTAAGAGAGAGAGAGAGAGAGAGAGAGAGAGAGAGAGAGAGAGAGAGAGAGAGAGAGAGAGAGAGAGAGAGAGAGAGAGAGATTGACTAATGTGTTTGGGAGAGAAGGCCAACTACATTGTTACATTCAATGTTTTCCCTACTAATATTTAGGAAATCATTGGAGAGGCAATAAGTACCCAATTCTATATTCTTCCAGAGCAGGAATAGTAATAAACTTCATAGTTGCTAATAAAATTTAAAAAGAAAACATCCCCAAGTATTTACGAAAAAAATTAAATTCAATTTAAGTCTTCAATGGAAATTTGTATGTTCCAAAGTAGCATACCAAGTGCAAGGATGTCAAAATCCCACTGATTTCAAAACACAGTCGTGTTGAGGGTTTAGAGATTAACATAGCTAGCTGCAGAGCCATGAAGAGCAGAATTAGAATACCTCTCCTTTCCAACTGCCATTATATTTTTCCTCATCAACCTACCAACCAGCCATTTCCACTACTTATCCCTGACTCTCCACTTACTAAGTCTTAGGTATAAATGGTCTGGGTTTGAAAAGGACTGAAGTTGAATTGAGCAGTACTCTCCATTTATACACTATTATAATAGATGCCTAAGTAGTTTATCTTGCCCTACGCAAGAAACATGGACAATATTTAAAAACTGCAAGTATATGTACTATACTTGGTATATGATATCTGGTAACTGGAATTGTATGTCCATGAACTTTACCCAATTTCTGTAGTACATTTTTTTTTAATTTGGGGAATTTGCTGAAAATTTTACAATTTAAAGAGCAGTGAATCTTCCTTTATGTTTGAAAAAAATGACTATAAACATCTTCTTACAAAAATCCAACAACTGAAATAACATAATTATAAACTCATTATGTCATTACAACTGAATACATATAGTCTGAAATTTAAGCAAAGGTTGTTAATACATTTCAGTACTTTAAAAACACATGATCTAATAAGGGTGGATAGTTTATCCACTGATAGACTGTAACTCTTCAGAGATCATAGATGGTTTTTAAGAATTGTTATAGCCAAAACAATTTATCACACTGTTTCCAACCTGGAATGTATCTCTCTCTTCTAAATTTGTAAAGGCTGTTCCTCAGATTATATGAATATTATTTTTCACTCAAGTCAGTACTTGAAGTCTTTCCAAACTGGCAGGCCCTGCCAGAGATAATATTTCATTGGCATAACCTTTGAGAGCCCAGTGTCATCTCCAGAGTGAGGCATAAAAGGAAAACTTTAGTGGAGGATAGAGTTCACTAAGAAAAAGCATGTGGATATTACTTTATCAATCGATTTGAAGATGAACATATAAAATCCATTTAGATCATCACTAGAAAAAAATTCATAAAAGGCAAACATTTCAGATTCAAATGCTCAAATTTGAAGTGAATAAAGGAAATAAAATAAAGTATCTTCAAAGGAATCTTTAACTGCCAGAGGACTTTTCAGCCCTAGAAGAATACTTTAATTTTTTGATGATAGAGGATTTCATTCAGTGTGGATTATGTCTACATTGTCACAGATTTCAACCACATCTATACCTTAGTAGACATCCTCCATGACTTGCGGTGAGCTAACAAGCAATCAAGAAAAGGAAGGAAAGAAGGAAGGAGAGAAGAAAGGAGGAAGGAAAGAAGGAAGGAAGGAAGGAAACAAGCAAGCAATGAGGGAAAGGACAGACCAAGAAGGGGGAAAAAAAGGAATGGAGAGGGAGAGAAGGAAGGAAAGAAATAAAAACACTAGAGCTAGAAGAGCTGTCAGAGATCATCTAGTCAAATTCTCTAATTTTAGGCATAGAAAAACTAAAGCTCAGGCAGGTTAAGTGACTTGCCCAAGTTGACATAGATGATTAGAGTCAGAAATGGGATTTGAATCCCGGACCCCTAATTCTTAAATCACTGCTCTTTCCACTGTAACGTGCTCTCCCTGGGTAGGCAAGCTGGTCTTTGGAAAATACAGGCACATTTTTTTTTTACTGGGGGAAGAGAAAGAAATAAGCATTTATATAGCAGCTACTAAGTGCCAGACACTGTGCTAAGTGCTTAACAGTTATGGGCCCATGACCGATAGCTTTTCAGAATGCTAGAATATCCCAGAACTTGCCCTCTACTGGAACAGCCTTTAAGAATTCACAGATCAACTCCCAAAGCAATCAGAGTAATATTCTAGTGAGAGTCTTCTGTATTTTGGGAATCCTGAACCATGAATCAGTAAAAACCTAACCCAAATGGCCTAAACATTTGCTCCAGAAAACAGAGTGGAAAATATTTGAATAAAGAGGCATAAAAAGTAAAATAAAATTGTATAACAACAATAATAATTCTCTACCTTTCTTTTCGGGTTTTTCTTTTTCTGGCTTTTCTTTGTGAGTCACTGTAAAGGAATAAATAATATATTTTATTAAAAGGGAAATAATACATTATAAGATTATGGAAAACAGATTTTAGGGAGATAGAAATTTTTAAACTACATGTTTAACAATCATCAACAAACACAAACATTTGTAGGTTTATACTAGTTGCAAGAGAGGACATCTATCTACTTAGAGGGTAGGAAATAAGTGGATGTGTAGTATATGATGTGAAAAAAGCAATAACAATTTTTTTTGCTATTTTAATTTTTATTCATTTTGAATTTAAATACATAAAGTGAAAAAAAGAACATTTCCATGTACACAGAACATAATAAAAAGAGGATTCAATATGAAACCATGAATTTACTTCTCACAGTTTGCTTTTTTAACTATGTTACAAATATTATGCTTCATTTTCAAAACTACCCTGTTTTTCTGTGTTCCTTCTAAATTTTCTTTTGTTTTCTGCTTGCACTTTTTTTCTCCCTCCCTCCCCAGCCCACCCTAGAGTAGGCTACCATTAGACACAAATATGTGTACATAGGTAAAGCCATACTATATCTATCTATCTATCTACCTATCTATCTATCTATCTATCTATCTATCTATCTATCTACCTATCTATCTAGTTCAATCCAACACTTTTTAGAATAATCAGAAGAAAACAGAAAAGTATAGAAAGATATCTGAACAAATACATAATTTCATTACTTCCTTGTTGAATAAAATATATGTAGGTCACATGATGCTAATAACATCATAAAATCCCTGTTCAGTTGATACTAGGTACTTTTCTGATATTTATAGATTTCTTTTCTCACTTCCACTTTTAGCCAAGAATCAAGAGTAGGTTGTTCATAAAACCAATATTAATAGAGAAGAGCCCAACAAGGTAAGAGAATACTCCTCAGCTCTTTCAAGCCTCCAACCATTTCTGGCAAAGGAATGTGAGGCTCTGAAAGATGATGAGAAAAACTTTTCTTGTATTTCCATGTAACAGTCAAAGTAGCCAGACTTGGATGTTCTCACACACACACACACACACACACATACACACACACACACACACACACACACATCAGTATCATAATGACTAGTTAGAGACAGAAAGGAGATATAAATATATTGAAATCTACTTTTGCTTTGCTCACTACTTTATCTTTTAGGTTATTTTTAATAACACCAATAACTCCCATTTTACCATTTTAAGATTTATAAACCTTAATTTACCTATTTGTAAAGTAGGAAATAGAAGTCTTATTATAGACATTTTACAGATAAAAAGAAGCAGAGTGTTGAAACAATTTGCTCAGTTTCCATATCTAGTATCAGAGCTTTTAGCTCTAAAGCCAAAAGACTTTATTGTCAAAATATTTGGCAAGCAAGTTGGCATACCCCCACTTGTCCAAATTTTGGCCTTTCCCCAATCAGGACTTTCAGCTCAACTCAGCTCTAAGAGTTCCTCTCTAACTGTCCCCATATGGTTCTCCCTGCAGCTCTTTGCCAGCTGCCAGGTGCCCTTTTGACCCTATAGTCAAAAGATTCTTTTAGACACCAGATCAAACTAACTTTGCTAAACTTCTAATAAAATAACAGCATGTCACAGAATAAGGGAAATAATGTAGTTATACAGATCTTTATGGGTACATTATTCCATTTGCGTCTCCAAACAATACTTTGAAATAGATAAATCTCCAATATTAGTATCCTGAGGCCCTAAGAAATGAAGTGTCTGCAGAAAGCGAGTGTCTTTTTACTCCATTTCTAACATCTTTTCCATAGGTGTAAATAGACCATGGGTTGGATGTCCTAGTTACACTTTGCAAGATCATTAGCATTAGTCCATTCATTAGATTTGCTTATGGTATTAATGCATATTTTTCACTAATGAAACACCAACACAGAACTTGTTTAGATTAGATTTTTTAATATGACTCAGATAAAACAAAAACATAATAACAGAAAAATACAAGAATTTTAAAGCTCCTGAAAGAGTAATAAGTTATCTGTGATAAGTCATTATTTCTATACCTTGATTAGAAGCATTCTCAAGAGAATGCCTTGTCTATCTTTCTGCCTCCAGGAAGGACTGGCCCTAACCCACCTCAGACAGATGGTTGTCCATTCTATTCAAGGCTTCTCAGATTGATGGGCACATGGACATATATGAGAGAATTAATACAAAATCAAAAGAGCAACTGGGCTGAATTCAACCTCAGATTAGCATATTAATGCGTATTCTCACTGCCCTAGGGAAGGCCTGGTTCCTCCCAGTATAAGTTTTGATTTGCAGACCCAGTTACTGTACATTGAAATTTCATTATCCTAAGAAGTGGCAGCATAATACTGCTTAGAGAAGCAGCTGTACCTAAGTACCCCAGGGAGCTCTTCAAAATGGAAACCAGCCACTACAGCACCTTGGGAGGAAACTTCAAGTAAGGGAGAGATTAAGCCAACTCCAAGTTGGTGTATTTCTCTCATAAAAACCATCATAAGAATCCAATCCAACTTCAGGACTAGAATCATTTTGACATAAAACTAATTTGCAGTAGTAACCACTCTTTTTTTTGTGCCTCTTAGCTTGGATTCAATATCTAAAAATATAAAAGCAGAGGGGAAAACAAGACCAAAAAAAACCATCAACAACATCAACCCTTCTTGCTACTGACACAGTTTGACAAGTTACATCTTAGCTGGTACATATTTAGCTCAGGACAAAATAAGCTTTTTTGCACCTGCTAGAGCTTAATTTGTTTGTCATCCTTATTTATAAGACACAAAAGTCCCTTAGCCATGTTGATAATTAAAAACAAAAGGAGTCCACCATTTGGAATGGTTTTAATATTTGGCAAACAACGTGGCATAGCTCTGCTTGTCCAAAAGCTGACCTTTCCCCAACCAGGACTTTCAGCTCAACTCGCTCCAAGAGCTCCTTCTAACTGTCCCCATATGGTTCTCCCTGCAGCCCTCTGCCAGCTGCCTTAGGTTCTTTCACAGTTCTCTTGGCCCTGAATGCTTGCCCGCTGGGCTGGGTGTCCTTTGCCGAAATAGAACTAAGTGCTAACAGTGAGCCTGACCCTACAGTTCTTAATCAGGCACAATACCATTGCCCAAGCTACAGCTGGAATAGTAGGAATCCTGGGCTCTGAGTCAGGCCAAGCTACTTTGCTCCCCTCTCTCTTCTGAGTGATTGAATCAGAAGTGTCAAGCTAGATTTTAAAAGCTGTTCTGAACACTGAGTTTTTCTGAGGTAGTACCAGGCTTCAATTTCATATCAACTGATTTTAATTAAACAAAGTTCTGTCTTATCACGTGCTCTCACTAACTCTTCAGAGGCTCAGGGAGACTACTTACCAAGTTTGCCAAAGCAGGGAATTATGAAGAGTGGGGGGAAAGCTTGTATTTCCTGCTCAAATTTGGGAACTTGGAAAATATTCAAAGGTGAGTGGGAATAATCTAAGTAAATACAGCAGCTCCCATCTTAGAGATGGGTGCTTTGCATGAGATCTTACTTAATATTACTTTTAACTAAGATTTTACCTTGTAACATTTTCCTCCCTACCCTTGCTCCCTTCTTTTTTGGACCTTCCTCTGAAAATAGAATATTCAAATGCTTTTTCTTTTTCATTGATGAAATATTTGCATATTTCACTCAAACAAAGACAAAGTTCATAAAGATATGAAAGAGTGAGTCCACAATATACTTTTAAAACACTAATGGCATGGAGCAGTTCTGATCCACCACTGAACAAGATCCTAGATGCTTCCAGATAGCTAATCTAATTTGGGATGACAAATCCTGGGCTCAAATATGCATGCTTTGCACATCTAAAGAGTGTAAGCTGATAGACTATCATAGACCCATTGAATCTGAAACTTTTCTGACACTTTTTGCTATTTTTCTCTACTATTTTAGGCATGGCTCCAAAGCCAGCACTCTCTTAGTTCAGATTCAATCTTGGGACAAAATGTAGTACGCCTGAGTAACTGAACATTTAACAAGAAAGGTTTACTGTGCTCTAACACAGCAAGAATATGCCACAAGGATATACAGCAAGAATGTACCAGTGTTTTGCTTATCTGGCTACCATTCCCCTCATCTATATATAGAAATATGTATGGTCTTTCATTAGGATTAGTCATTAGGGTATAGTAACTCCTTTGGTCTAAGAGGCCCCAAGTCCACATGTCTTAGGCTTTTTACTGAATTTATACCACGTATATGCAAAGGAAATCCATGATGTAATGGACACAATTTTGAGGATCTTGAGGGATTGTCTAAGTGTTCCTTAAATAAAAATGTGAGAAGGCTTCAAAAATGATAGTTTGCAATCTACTACATTTTATACTCAAATTGACTGAAAGGTATACAGAATACAAAATCTCATTTTGGGGACTAGAGAAAAAAGCAGCTTTTAGAAAGGAGCCTACCATTCATAAATCAATATTATGGAAGTTTCCTTCATAGAAAAAATTTGTTCAATTACTTGGCAATTAATAATTCATGCATAACTATGGCAGGGGCAGATACTAAAAAAAGGAAAGGAGAAGAGGTCACAAAAATAAGATGCAAAATTTTGATTACATTGTATTTGACAGGTTTTAAAAAAGCAAAATCAATAAAACTATGATTAGAAGATAAAAAATTGGAGAAAAATTATTGCATCACATATCTCTGCCAAGTGTCTAGTATCCAAGATATATAATACATTAACACAATATGTGGACTAAAAAAAACCCCCCCAAAAATTCTCCAATGTATAAAGACTGCTCCAAATCATTAATAATCAGAGAAATGCAAACTAAGATTAAAACATTGCAGGGATTTCACCTCATGCTTAACAAATTGTCGAAGATGACCAAATATGGAAAGAGTCAATGTTAGAGAAACTTCATGGTGACTGGCACACTATTACATTGTTGGTGAAGCTATGAATTGGCCAACAATTAGAGATAGCAATTTGAAATTATATTTTGACAATTACTTAAAATGTCTCATCTAGACCCTTTGACCCCTAAA